AATTAAAGACATAATGCCTATAACTGAATTTATGCCCATGCCCTGTAACATTTGACACCCCACATGCCAATCACATGTAACCTGTTCTACCTGTCTAGACCGTCCTTGCTGGTGTACTCAGCCAAAAGATCGTACCAGCCTTTCAATATTGGCGCCATCTCAGGCTGGTGCTGGGTGTAGATGTGGTCCAGGTAGTCTTCCTGGAACTTTACACAGAAACAAGTGTTTAGTTAAGAATCTAGCATTTTGATTTTGTAACATAATGGGATTAGCGGGATTAGCAGAGAGATGCACAGCAATCTGATTTACAAAAAAATACTTCAATGCAAATCTACGTTATCATTTAGAATATTCAGTGGCGTTGCGAGGTCGGGTTCACCCGGTGCGGCACTTAATGGTGTCACCCCCAGAGGCGTAGCGACCCTTCCCGGGGACAAACTTTCAAATTTTCGATTTGCACCCCCCTCAAAATTTCGATTTGCACCCCCCTCTCAAATTTTCGATTTGCATCCACCCCCTCAAACTTTTGATTTGCACCCCCCTCAAGTTTTTCTATATATATTTTGCTATTTTTTGCCTTGGTGTCACCCCTAAATGGTGTCAGCCGGTTCGGTCCGCACCCCCCGCCCCCCCCCCCCCCTCGCTACGCCTCTGAGAAAATTATGTTACAGTAAAATATCCCAATAAATGTATTAGCCTAGAATCTGTGTGTATCCATGATGTAACATACGTACTGGTGGCACGTCTTTGCCTGACAAGGGTTCGTTCCAAGAGTGGTTGGCGACAGTCAGGATGTTGGGGATGGCGTCGGCACGGAACCCATCGACGCCGAGGTCAAGCCAGAAGCGGAGGAGGCTCTGATCAAGTAATTGGTCAACACAGGCATTAGGTCAAATGTTGGATCAATACAGGCGTTATGAAAAATGTTGGATCAATACAGGCGTTAGGTCAAGTAATTAGTCAACACAGACGTTAGGTCAATTGTTGGATCAGCACAGGCGTTAGGTCAAGTAATTAGTCAACACAGGCGTTAGGTCAATTGTTGGATCAATACAGGCGTTAGGTCAAATGTTGGATCAATACAGGCGTTAGGTCAAATGTTGGATCAATACAGGCGTTAGGTAAAATGTTGGATCAATACAGGCGTTAGGTCAAATGTTGGATCAACACAGGCGTTAGGTCAAATGTTGGATCAATACAGGCGTTAGGTCAAATGTTGGATCAATACAGGAGTTAGGTTAAATGTTGGATCAATACAGGTGTTAGGTCTATTGTTGGTCAATACAGGCGTTTGGTCAATTGTTGGTCAATACAAGCGTTAGGTCAATTGTTGGATCAATACAGGCGTTAGGTCAAATGTTGGTCAATACACGTGTTAGGTCAAATGTTGGTCAATACATGTGTTAGGTCAATTGTTGGATCAATACAGGTGTTAGGTCAAATGCTGGATCAACACAGGCGTTAGGTCAAATGTTGGATCAATACAGGCGTTAGGTCAAATGTTGGATCAACACAGGCGTTAGGTCAAATGTTGGATCAATACAGGCGTTAGGTCAATTGTTGGATCAATACAGGCGTTAGGTCAAATGTTGGATCAATACAGGCGTTAGATCAAATGTTGGATCAACACAGGCGTTAGGTCAAATGTTGGATCAACACAGGCGTTAGGTCAAATGTTGGATCAATACAGGCGTTAGATCAAATGTTGGATCAACACAGGCGTTAGGTCAAATGTTGGATCAATATTAGGTTAAATGTTTATAGTTTCAGTCAAAATGCAAACATCTTACATCTTAAGCTTTAAGTTTCCAATAAACCTACCACACCTTTAGCTCCCACTCGACATACAGGTTCCTGTGGTTAAGCTCCGGAGCTTCCTTAATGAAGACGTGGTAATAAAACTGTTGACGCTGGTCGTTCCACTGCCACGCCGAGCCCCCAAATATGGAAAGCTGGAGAATTAAAAGGTAACTAATTAGGCTTAATTAACAACAGCTGGATTAGATTTGAAGGGAAAACTAATTAGGCCGAATTAACAAAATATGGACGATATTTAAAAGGTTACTAGTTAGACTTAACTCACATCTAGACGGTTTGATAAGCGAAAACTAATTAGGCTTAATTGACAAGTAGACGCATTTTAAGAAAGAAAAAAGTTTTAAATTTTCGACCACTTGACTTGATTTTAAGGCAGTGAAAAATAAAAATGATAAACCAAGTGCGATAATGTAATGGCGAAATAAAATATCTAGATTAGGTATTTGAAAGTCTCGCTAGTTGTTATGCCCCTAAAATATAATTTGTTACAAAAGAAAAAAAAATCCAACAATACCAAACTATTTAGGTAGCTAACACTTCTGCTTTTAATTTTTTTTAACAAGTATGCCTAATGGTTTATTAACTCTTGCTACACACCAACAGCAACAACACCCGTCACATCCTTAAACATTAAAACCTACACCAAACACCCCTACACTCTACACCCTTTACCCCCTCACACTCCACGCTCCTTGACCACACCCCAACTGACCCAGTTGTTGGGCGGGGTCCTGGTGCCGTTGTCCAGCAGACGACCGTCGTCCCAGACGTAGAAGTCTGTGTACTTCCCTTCCCGCCTGACGCTCTTCTGGAACCACACGTGCTGGTCACTCGTGTAGCCGGGCACAAAGTCTACGATCAGCTTCAGACCTGAAGAAGATTACAGAGTCCATAACACTGACCTTTTGGTCATACTTTTGATTCATGCTGACATTTTTAATCATACTGACCTTTGTCGTGAACCGCTTGTACAAGGTCTTTGAAGTCGTCAAGATCTCCGAAAATAGGGTCAATGTCTCCGGCGTCCGAACAGTCATAGCCGAAATCTTTCATGGGAGATCTACAGACGGGACTCAACCAGACGCAGTCGATGCCGAGGTCGACGAGATAATCCAGCTTGGAGATTATTCCTGCAGACAGTTCACATGTACTCAGACATTGCGGGTAAGATGTTTTAAATAGTGGTGGACTGGGATGAGTAAAGGAGCGCGCTCCAGAAATTCAGATGTTTTAACTAGCGGTGGACTGGGCTGAGTAAAGGAGCGCGTTCGTGAAAGTCTGGAGTTCGATTCTTGGAAACTTTTAATATTACGTTGCTCCCCGACGTCAGGCAGGTGAAGAAATGAAACATGCTCGTGTGGATCAGAGGCGTAGCGACCCATTCAGGCACCCGGGGCGAATTATTAAAGTTGCGCCCCCCTCCCTTCCCCATTTAAACTTTGTTATTCACGTTGGCGCCCCCGACCCCTACTCCAATTCAGGGTATGTATGTGAAGCCAAGTGGCAGTCCATTTGTTTTCCGACTGTGCATCAGGCTCTAGTGTTACTTAGAACGAGCTTTTTTTTCTACCCGTTTTTTGCGCCACCCCACACGTTGGGTCAGTGACTGGGGCGGCTGCCCCACCCATCCTGCTCTAGCTCCGCCTCTGGTGTAATTTAATATCAACAATGTGGCTAAATTTTGTACCTACCCCTGATGTCCCCTACACCATCAACGTCCGAGTCTTTGAATGACCTGGGGTAGATCTGGTAGAAGACAGCTTTCTGCCACCAGGTCAGGTTCTGGCTGGCATCAGGGGTCACTATGACCCTGCCATCGGCTGACCTACTTACATAATAACCGTCAGCTGATTGGACGAAAACAACAAACGTTGAAAACACCAGGACGGTATAGAGAATCTGGTGAGTAGATTTCATTGTCCACGCTGGGTTTCGTTCCCTGGCCACTGAAGTTCTAGAGTTATAAACATTTTAATCTTTGCTTTAGTATTTAAAAAATTAAATTACACACTACACATGCTATACAATGAACTACGTAATGTACATTACACTCTACACAGCGCAGACTACACATTATTCATTTCACATTACTCACTACACACTACGCACACACTACACACTACGCACACAGTACACACTACACACTATGCACACACTACACACTATGCACACAGTACACACTACACACTATGCACACACTACACACTACTCACTACGCTACACGTATAAACACTTGCCAGTTCGTCTTGATCTACGATGTTTTCACAACACAGCTCGATGTTGTCCTACTTGTGTTGTTGTCCAACAAATATCTGGCCCCATATATCTCTAGTTCGATGCTATCCTTTCTAGAACTTTAAAAACATTTCCTGCTACTTAGGTCAAGATAACAGAGTTGAAAACATTGAAACTGGAGCACACGATTAACTGTTCTATTTTTCTCTATGCCATGTGGTGTGTTCGATTAGTCAAGTTAAGATAGGAAACAATCACAAAGGTGAATATATACAACAAGGTTTGCCGATGATACTGGGATATTGGATTGTTTATAACAATTTGAAAACTTAATATCCTATCAGGCATACCACAGGGGCAGGAAAAGTATATAATAAAGAAAATATATGTCCCCACGGAAACTTTAGCGCGTCCTCCAGTGTTTCTTTCAGACATTTTTTTTATCGAGGAGGGGGGGGGGGGTTGGTGAAACTTTGGCGGGAAGGGGCGGATAGAAATTTCCAGCGGTTAAATAAACTCAGCCCGTCCCCGTTTGTCCCCCGTGCCTCGTCCACGCCTTCTTTCAACCCCCCCCCCCTTTCAAAAGTCTAAAATAAGTCCTGAATAATACCATGATGTCCACCTGATTGGCAACCATCTTGTTTAAAACATTTCACATCACAAATGACAGGACTGAGAGTTGTATTGATGTAATTTTACAACCAGTTTACAAATTTTTACACCGCAGCCACATGAATATCCAATTATTACCTTATTTGTAAATTGTAACAATCATTCAACATTGATTGTCTTACAGTTAACACCAATGAACTATCTTACAAGTATAACCCATGACATCTAATGATCCTTCCTACAATGATCCTTCCTACAATGACCTATACTACAATGACCTATCCTATAATGATGACCTATCTCACAATAACCTATACTAAATTGACCTATACTAAAATGACCTATCCTACAATAACAGCATCAGGAGAAACTTGAAATATAATCCCATTTCCAGCATCCAGATTTACACGCGAAAGGTCGACCTGTTGACCCACCTTGACCTCCTTCACACCTGTAACATAAATGAACAAGGTCATCAATTAGTTTCATGAACTAAATGGTCAATTAAACTTTTTAACTTTCTTGGCCATACCACTATTTACAATACGACTCTTGATACCATTGCTGACCATACCACTCTTGACCATAATACAAGACCATACCACTCTAGATAATAAAAAACTTGACCACCATACCATTCTTGACCATGCCACACTAGACCATACCACACTTGACACTTAACAAACTTTGCAAACTTTATTTACAATACACGCAGACAGCGTTCTTACGTTTTTGTTTTTATAACTTCGTTTTAATATTTTTATACCTAAAACATCTAAAGGCCAAATATGTGGTGTCTGTGTGTTTGATGTGTTTTATGTTTTAAAATAAAACTTGACTGTATTAGAAATTAATCGTTTTATATTAAAATGTTGGATACATATGTTATACCTGGTGACGTAACCACTGCCTGCGCCATTAGCCCGCCAAATGACGTCATGTCCACTGTCGTCTGCTGACCAAAGTTTAAAACCACCAGAAACTTCTCGGCGCCAAGATGTCTGATGTAAGACACAATGTTGCTGTCCACGGTGGCCTCCTGCATGAGAATTAAATAACAATCTAACTATTGCAAGAAAATCAGATTACTACACAAAGAAAATATAGATTTTTGTTAAAAAAAAAGAATCAGTAGGTTACTGCACAGGCCACGAAAAATGATTTCATGAGCCACTCGTTACTGATGCAATGTACCTAATGGTTTCGACGACAATATAGATTACAAATGAAATTTTAAGCTGCCTTTATACATAACGTTACTAAAACAGACTGCAACCATTAGGCGAGAAACCAATGGAGAAAATGGGCCAGGGGCGACAACTCTAGATTACCTCGAACACTCCTTGTAAAAACACTGGGTTTTTTCTTAACGTAGTCAGCTGTTTGTATAGTTGTAGGCTGGACTGTCGGCTGCTGTCGGACTCTGTCTACAGAAGGTATATACATACATGTGTAGTTACATATATATTCAACTGTTTACAATGAGAGACAAACCTGTAGTAAGGATGCAGATAATTTATTAATAGCTGTTCGATTATTGTAAAAGTGCAATGTTTTTATCTGACGAAGACCTAGTACCTGAACATTCAGCAAGGTGTAGTTATTGGAAAAGTTTTTATGTTTTTATCTGACGAAGACCTAGTACTTGAACATACAGCAAGGTGTAGTTATTGGAAAAGTGCAATGTTTTTATCTGACGAAGACCTAGTACCTGAACATTCAGCAAGGTGTAGTTATTGGAAAAGTGCAATGTTTTTATCTGACGAAGACCTAGTACCTGAACATTCAGCAAGGTGTAGTTATTGGAAAAGTGCAATGTTTTTATCTGACGAAGACCTAGTACCTGAACATTCAGCAAGGTGTAGTTATTGGAAAAGTGCAATGTTTTTATCTGACGAAGACCTAGTACCTGAACATTCAGCAAGGTGTAGTTCTCAGCTAGAGGCAGCCAGGTAGAGTTGCCGGTCGTAAAGCCGGCTGTTGTGTCGTTCGTCCATTGCATCGGCGTTCTTTCCGGGTCCCGGGAGAATTCCGTGTAGCGGTTCTAAGATACAGGTAGTGGTTAGGCTTAGAGTTAGGGTCAAAGGCCCATACGAGGGTTAGGATGAGGGGTATTCTACGGTAAACAGGCATAGTTATCCTGCACGTCTAAAGAGTTCATACCTCTATCACTCTAAAGGAGTTAAATGTCTCACACTTTAGAGATTAAAAAATTTTTGAAAAATGCGAAAAATTTGAATGTTCAGCCCCCATGGGACTACTGTCTCCCCCCCCCCCCCCCTCCTCGACTCACCGGGCCAAAGTTCAGCCCCCACGGGTCAACTGTCTCCTCCCACGTGATGTTCGCCTGCAGCATGCCCAGCTCCTCCCCGTAGTAGGTGGTGGGCGTGCCCCAGAGGGTCAGCACTAGCATGTTGTACACGTCCACGTACCTGGCGCCGTTCCTGGCACTCACACGTGGGTTGTCATGGTTACCAAGCTGGGGTGGGGAGATGTAAAAAATTAGCAAGTTAAAAAAACATTACCACGGACACTCTACATGACAGTCATCTCATGACAGTCATCTCATGACAGTCATCTCATGACAGTCATCTCATGACAATCATCTCATGACAGTCATCTCATGACAGTCATCTCACGTTCATTCACAGCAAGTGGAGCGGGTGCGCTTGTGTCGCTTTATGTTTACAATTCCAAACTGTAAATGTCATAAAAACAACGTTTTGTTTTTTTAAATACACCAAAGATAAAATCCTGCATACTTGACAGTGTTTTGTTTGAGTTTTGTTGTTCTCTATTTGTATTGCTGTTGTTCTCTACTTGTGTTGCTGTTCTTGTCATTATTTGGTTAGCGTTTTGGGTCGAGGGTAATTTCAGAATTTAATTTTAGGTCAGTGCAAGTTTCATAGTTCGGGTTACGGTTAGAGTCCCCATACGAGCAGAACCTTATAACAGATCTGATCTGCTGATGACTTGATAAAGCACTGACTACACTGCCGTTTTAGTTTATTGACCTTTTTATATTGTAACCGCTACAATAAATCTCAAGGGTTGTAAGCCGAGTCTTCTAACACCTCTACGTGCACCAATTCCATGATGGTGTTGTTTGCTGCTCATGTTGTGATGGTGTCGGATAATTGTGTTGGCATTTGCAGCAAACGTACTAGCGATACTACTCAAAAGTTAAAAGTTAAAGTTTCCCCTTCAAACCTGACGGTCTATGGGGCAAGTGAAGTAGAGTTCACTTTTTCTGTGACTTACACTACTCCAAGCTGTCTTTAAATTTTCAGACATGCCATGTAACCATTAGAGCTAGCTGTACTCAGCAAATAAATTAAAAACCAAAATAAGTCAGATGTAGCTCTTGTAAACCATTTTACCACAAAGTTTGGCCATTTCCCTTGCGTCAAGTTCCCGTATTCCGCCATGACAGTCTGGAATATTTCTCGTGACGTCGGTGGCCGGTTCATATCGATGAAGTCAAAGTTGAAGGGGTTGCCCGCCCCTTGGGCGTAGAGGGCGTTGCGAATCTCATGGGTGGCATACGTCTCCAGAACCATATATCTAGATAAAACCAAAAATAGCATGTAAAAACAACGTAAATCTGGATATAACAAATAAAAGTATATAAAAAACAGATTCCTGGAATGGAATATTTTCACATGTTTCCCTGTAACATTTGAATCTATTTATGCTGTAACTGTTCAAGCTACAGCCCATGTAATATTGTAGTCAATTTCTATTGTCGTATACAAATATTTAGGTAACAGTAAATGCCTCATTTTTTTAAAAAATTGCCCTCTTTTATATGTCAATGCCTGTATTTGTCAATTTGTCGATATTTCATAATAACCAACCTCATGTACCATTTGAAACCCCATTTACCCCATGATTACCCATCACATATAACATTTTACACCCAAGATGCCCAAACTTGTCTGTAATCTGTTCTACCTCTCTAGACCGTCCTTGTTTGTGTACTCAGCCAAAATATCGTACCAGCCTTTCAAGATAGGAGCAATCTCAGGCTGGTTCAGGGTGTAGATATGGTCCAAGTAGTCTTCCTGGAACTTTACACAGAAAGAAGGATATAGTTACATTTATAGTCTAGCATGTGTTGACTTAGGGTTACATAGATAAATGGGGGTGGTGGCACTAGCGGAGTAACTTCTGAACTATGTAGCTTTAACAAACAAAAAAACAACAGAAGATTATATATATATATATATATATATATATATATATATATATATATATATATATATATATATATATATATATATATATATATATATATATATATATATATAATTCTCTTCTTCGAGCCGTTAGAAAACAAGCTGCAAACGCTCTCCCTACCTCCCCACCCCTACATGGTTTTAGTGAGCTGTGTTCACTCTAAATGTTTACAAGCAGAGCCAACGATTTTAAACGTAGGGGGGGGGGGGGGAGGGGGGAGGGAAGGAAGGGGGGGGGTTATGGTCCTTTACGAGCTACTTATAGTGTTTTAAAGAAATATTTTCAGTGTCAGCGTTGGTACTGTCGAATTCACAAATTATGAATTATTGAAAATTAGAAACAACTAAATAGCGGCGTATGTTATGCCGCGGGCCGGCTCGTATATATATAATTCTCTTCTTCGAGCCGTTAGAAAACAAGCTGCAAACGCTCTCCCTACCTCCCCACCCCTACATGGTTTTAGTGAGCTGTGTTCACTCTAAATGTTTACAAGCAGAGCCAACGATTTTAAACGTAGGGGGGGGGGGGGAGGGGGGGAGGGGGGGGGGAGGGGGGGAGGGGGGGGAGGGAAGGAAGGGAGGGGGTTATGGTCCTTAACGAGCTACTTATAGTGTTTTAAAGAAATATTTTCAGTGTCAGCGTTGGTACTGTCGAATTCACAAATTATGAATTATTGAAAATTAGAAACAACTAAATAGCGGCGTATGTTATGCCGCGGGCCGGCTCGTATATATAATTCTCTTCTGGGAGCCGTTAGAAAACAAGCTGCAAGCGCCTCCTTGCAGTCCCCTCTCTTTCTCTCTATCACTACCACCCCCACCCCACCCCAACATTGTCTGGTGAGCTGTGTTCACGCTGTTTACATTTTACAATCATAGAGACGGGTTTGGTGACGGCTATTAGGGGCAGATAATTTAGTTTGAAACGATTTTAAACTTAGAGGAGGTAACTAAGAGGAGGCTGCTTTCACGTGGGGGGGGGAGGGGGGTTTAGTGTTTTTAAGCAAATATTTTCAGTGGCAGCATTGGTACTGTCGAATTCACAAATTATAAATTACTGAAAAGTAGAAAAAAAAAACAACTAAATAGCGGCGTATGATACGCAGCGGGTCGGCTCGTATATATATATATATATATATATATATATACTTACTGGTGGCACGTCCTTGCCTGACAAGGGTTCGTTTAAAGAACGGTTGGCGGCCGTCAGGATTGCGGTGATGGCGTCGGCACGGAACCCATCGACGCCAAGGTCAAGCCAGAAGCGGAGGAGACTCTGGTCAAGTAATGAATTAACACTGTCATTGGGTCAACACTGTCATTGGGTCAACACTGTCATTGGGTCAACATTGTCATTGGGTCAACATTGTCATTGGGTCAACACTGTCATTGGGTCAACATTGTCATTGGGTCAACACTGTCATTGGGTCAACATTGTCATTTGGTCAACACTGTCATTGGGTCAACACTGTCATTGGGTCAACACTGTCATTGGGTCAACGCTGTCATTGGGTCAACGCTGTCATTGGGTCAACACTGTCATTGGGTCAACACTGTCATTGGGTCAACACTGTCATTGGGTCAACACTGTCATTGGGTCAACACTGTCATTAGCCCAATGTCATTATCAACACTCGCGTTAGGTATAATGTTGGATACATACTGGCGTTTCGTCAAATATATAGAGCTTTATTGAAAACCTAAACTACCAATTTCCGTAGCTCTAAGTTTCCAATAAACCTACCACACCTTTAGCTCCCACTCGACATAAGAGTTCCTGTGGTTAAGCTCCGGAGCTTCCTTAATGAAGACGTGGTAATAAAACTGTTGTCTCTGGTCGTTCCACTGCCACGCCGAGCCCCCAAATATGGAAAGCTGGGGAGATTTTAAGGGAAAACTTATTAATTAGCCCTAGCCCTAGCCCTAGCCCTAGCCCTAGCCCTAGCCCTAGCCCTAGCCCTAGCCCTAGCCCTAGCCCTAGCCCTAGCCCTAGCCCTAGCCCTAGCCCTAGCCCTAGCCCTAGCCCTAGCCCTAGCCCTAGCCCTAGCCCTAGCCCTAGCCCTAGCCCTAGCCCTAGCCCTAGCCCTAGCCCTAGCCCTAGCCCTAGCCCTAGCCCTAGCCCTAGCCCTAGCCCTAGCCCTAGCCCTAGCCCTAGCCCGATGCCCTAGCCCTAGCCCTAGCCCTAACCCCCTCCCGCCTCCCCTTGACCACACCCCAACTGACCCAGTTGTTGGGCGGGGTCCTGGTGCCGTTGTCCAGCAGACGACCATCGTCCCAGACGTAGAAGTCTGTGTACTTCCCTTCCCGCCTGACGCTCTTCTGGAACCAGACGTGCTGGTCACTCGTGTAGCCGGGCACAAAGTCAACGATCAGCTTCAGACCTATGGATAGAAGTAACAGCCTCGGGTCTGAAGAAGGTTATGGAGTCCACCACACTGACCTTTTCGTCATACTTTTGAGTCATGCTGGCATTAACGTTTTAAAATACTGACCTTTGTCGTGAACCGCTTGTACAAGGTCTTTGAAGTCGCCAAGATCTCCGAAAATCGGGTCGATGTCTCCGGCGTCCGAACAGTCATAGCCGAAATCTTTCATGGGAGATCTACAGACGGGACTCAACCAGACGCAGTCGATGCCGAGGTCGACGAGATAATCCAGCTTGGAGATTATTCCTGCAGACAGTACACATGTACTCAGACGTTGCGGGTCAGCTTTTTGAACTAGCTGTAGACTGGGTTTAGTGACGGAGCACGGTCATATTACGTCACATAATTCGTATATCTTCCACTGTTCCGTGACGTAACTCATGTGTAGATAGGAAATATAATGACGTAAGTCACGTGAAGATAGGACACGGGTGTGACAATGATCACGCAAAGTCGTCGTCACACAAATCATGAACTCTACTTCATCTCCTTCTAGGATGACAGTATCCTGCACTAGTGATCTAAGACAACACTCATCGTTTTTTTTTTGTAAAGTCAATCATATTTCTCATGTGTGTTCATAACAATTTTAAACTTTGTTGTCTTAGTTATCTTTGGTTGCTTTCAGTATAAGTTAATTTACCTATATGCACGGTGCACATAGAGGGATGGCGTGGTCTGACGGTAGAGTCCTCGACTACAAACCTGAAAGCCTCGATATCGGACCCCAGGCTGGAGTAAGTTGGATGTCAATGTGTCCACCTAGCATTGACACGTATATGACTGGCTATCGTTATGGAAAGAAAGGCGACTGGGCTTAGTGCTGACCACACTATCGCTTCTTATGCTGAGGTCACAGAGACAGGTGATGTTGACTTCATCGGGGTAGTGGATCGCCGGGTCTGAAAGGGTGGCTTTTAGTGTTTCTTCCAGGCATCTCTTGGTGAGGGGGGGGGGGGGAGCGGCTCCTCTACCGCCCCCACCCCCCGAATGAAAAGGAATTTATATAGAAAATATATACTTTTAACAGTGTCTGCCCCCACCCCCACCCCAAGGAAATTTTAGTCCACCCTCGCTCCCACCGAAAATTTCAAGTGCCCCCCCCCTTCCCCCCCCCCCCCCCCCCCCCCAGGAGAAAAAAGTTTGGAAGAAACACTGGTGGCTTTACCTTTCGCGTATGGTTAATATCTACAATGTGGCTAAATTTTGAACTTACCTCTGGTACTAATATCAACAATTTGGCTACATTTTGAACTTACCTGTGGTATTTATATCAACAATGTGGCTAAATTTTGAACTTACCTGTGGTATTTATATCAACAACGTGCCAAAGTTTTGTACCTACCTCTGATGTCCCCTACACCATCACCGTCCGAGTCTTTGAATGACCTGGGGTAGATCTGGTAGAAGACAGCTTTCTGCCACCAGGTCAGGTTCTGGCTGGCATCAGGGGTCACTATGACCCTGTCATCGGCTGACCTACTTACATAATAACCGTTAGCCGATTGGACGAAAACAACAAACGTTGAAAACACCAGGACGGTTAAGAGAATCTGGTGAGTAGATTTCATTGTCCACGCTGGGTTTCGTTCCCTGGCCACTGAAGATCTGAATTTTAATGTTTGTAGTATAAAAACAAACGCACTACAAACTCGATACAACGCACTACTATATAGTCCTACTTGTGCTGATGTCCTACAACTATATAGTCCTACTTGTGCTGATGTCCTACAACTATATAGTCCTACTTGTGCCGATGTCTTAAATAACTGTGGCTCTACTTATCTTAAGCCTATCTTTTCTAGAACTTTGTACGATTTCCTTAGAGAAAGTTTAAGATAAAGAAAGCCCATTAAAACTATTGTCGCACACAATTAATTCCTTTATCTCGTGTGTGTGCTGTGTGTTGGATTATTTAGATCAACTCATGAAACAATGACAAAGGTGAATATATAGAACAACACGAATAATCACAAAGGTGAATATATAGAACAACACGAATAATCACAAAGGTGAATATGTAGAACAAAGCTTGCCGTTGCTATCAGTTCTTATGCCTTTGTCATAACAGTTTGATCACTCAATATCCAAATGAGTTTCTTCCAGGTATATGTCAGTGGGGGGGGGGGGGGAGGGAGGGGGGTACAAAAAGTGAAGCACAATAGATAATTTATTTAAAAAATATATAATTTAAAAAGTGTCCAACACCTTCCGGAAGTTTTTAGTTTGACACGAGGGTCAGGGGCTTAGTTTGACACTAATGTGTCACGATACGACATGGGCTTTGATTGAAATAAAAGATTTCTCATGTATTTCTTATATATTTCTCATGTATACTTCTACGCGTCTAACACCCACGCTGTTAAAAATTGAAACAAACAATCGTTTTGTTTCTGCATTTTTTTTTATTAAAACACTACCAACAAGATGTGTAACATGTAAACACTTCAGTTGTTCTAACGTACAACATAACTAGCTCTACATATAAGTATAATAGCAGCAAAACCAACATAAGACTAACAGCTGTTCATCTCTACACAGAAGCACAGCCAACGCATACAGCATATCAACGTTACAACATAAAGTAAAATATACAAATGTTAAAACATATAGTAACATATGAACTCTTCTTCCGTTAGACAGTAACTGTAACATTCCTCGGGGTCAATTTATTCACTTGTGAGGAAGAAGAGGACTCACGGTTCGTTAATAAATACAGTAGAATTTAAGATTTTAACAACATATTATATCATAGCTTACTTTTAATATAAATGCAATAGCACTCAGACTGTTAAAATTATAAAACACTTTATACAGAAAGTAAGCAATTGACACTAGTATTCTCAAATTGTGGTTTCTCTCTAGTAGCCTATACAGAAATTAAAATTTACGTAACATAATTATACAATGTAAATAAACTTTTTTATAAGCATATTTGTTCATGCATGGTTTTTTTACTTTCTCGTATATACGAAGTATAGAGAAAGTCTTGTAATCGTGCAAAAAAAAAAATCGAGATTTTTACAAATCTCGACGTTTCACACCTCACTGATACGGAAAAACATAATTTTGCAATCTTGTCCGTATGTCTGTGTGTCTGTCTGTGTGTCTGTGTGTCTGTCTGTCCGTGTGTAAACACGATAACTTGAGAACCGTTACAGCTAGGTTGATGAAATTTCATATATAAGTATTTTATCAAAATCGTAGATCCGTATCAACTTTTGAGCGATTTCCGATAACCGGAAGTGGTACTTTTCCTACTTTGAATTTTTCAAAAGCCTATAACTTGAGTACTATTTCAGATAGATAAATGAAATTTCATATGTAAGTAAAAGATCTAATTCTCTACCTTCTATCAAATTTTGAGTCATTTCCGTTAACTGGAAGTAGTACTTTACGCTACTTCCGATTTCTCAAAAAACTAATGTAAATTTTAAAAGTAATAATAATATTGCGCACCATTATGCGCTTTTTTATTTGGCGTTCACTTGGTGTGCAATTAATTTGTCTACGATATTTTATTCTATTTTTAAAACTTTAAGTATTTAAAATGGATTAAAAATCATGTCTATAGCCCGAGTTCCCATCCCCTGTTATTTTATATAAGAATATTCGAGAAAGTTTAGGGGAGATCACTTCCGGTTTATTAATCAAAATATGTACGTCATTACTTGCTTAGAAAAGGAACATCTTCAAAATACAGAAAAAGCAACAAAGTCAGCATTTGAAACATCACATTTTACAGCAAAATGACACAATACTGGTCAAATTGAAAAAACATGTGAATATCAATTGTGGTTTGGTTCATAAATGACGTCATGTAGTTTTGACCGATTGATGGTCATCTTCCCTCCACCAATCCCAGCTCCCACACAATATCCCTTATCCCTGCTCATAGAGAAAATCCCATATCCCTGCTCCTACACACATCAAATTTGGCAACACAATTATCTATTATACCAAAAATCTTATTAAGAGTGTATTTCATCTTTTAAAATAGAACAACATAATATGCCTTGCATGAAAGTTTCATTGAAACCCTACCTCCCCTCTCTTACCCCGTGTCACACATCGTCACAACAATTTGACATCAGTTATTATTATGACTCCAGTGTGTCCCCTGTCATATTATGACACCTGACATTTAGGTTACACCTGTCATAAAGTTACATTGTATGTTGTCTGTCACACTGCTACACCTCGCTGACATTCTGTGACGTCTGACTGACAAATGGCACCTCCTCCTCCGCCGTACCCTCCAGCTCATCTGCGGGTATGTAAAAATTTACCAGGCGTACATTTCATGCGGCAGCTCATGTGATACGAGAAGGTGAGCACTAACAATGTAATACCTGATCTTTGTGTTATAAAAAATGTACTAGGCCTATATTTCATGCGGCAGCTCATGTGATACGATCAGGTGAGCACTATCAAGGTAATACCTGATCTTTGTGTTATAGGATCAAGTCTTACACAGTTAAACGTACTGCATGTATCAATGTAACATTAGCAAACATACATTCTAATTTAACTACCATATTGCGATTTTGTTGTTGTGTAAATGTTTAAGTAACTTTAACTAAACCGAATATGAAAAGAGAAGTACGTCATTGATGGCGTGAGAAGGGAACTCAGATATGCCCGGGGGTGGGGCGGGGGGGGGGGGGGGGTAACAAGTTAGTTAAACAATTTTTTTAAAAAGTGTACCAATGTGACACTGACCTTGAGCTGTCTGGTGTGACATGGCCTCAGCTATCGTTGAGTACACCGGCACGTGCTTCAAGGTCACGTTCTGTAGCTGGTCAATGACCCGGCCCTGTGGGGACAAGACAGAAGACACTGAGACAAGACAGAAGACACTGAGACAAGACAGAAGACACTAAGACAAGACAGAAGACACTGAGACAAGACAGAAGACACTGAGACAAGACAGAAGACACTGAGACAAGACACTGAGACAAGACAGAGTACACTGAGACAAGACAGAAGACACTGAGACAAGACAGAAGACACTGAGACAAGACACTGAGACAAGACAGAGTACACTGAGACAAGACAGAAGACACTGAGACAAGACAGAAGACACTGAGACAAGACAGAAGACACTGAGACAGGACAGAAGACACAGAGACAAGACAGAAGACACTGAGACAAGACAGAAGACACTGAGACAAGACAGAAGACACTGAGACAAGACACTGAGACAAGACAGAGGACACTGAGACAAGACACTGAGACAAGACACTGAGACAAGACAGAAGACACTGAGACAAGACAGAAGACACTGAGACAAGACAGAAGACACTGAGACAAGACACTGAGACAAGACACTGAGACAAGACACTGAGACAAGACAGAAGACACTGAGACAAGACAGAAGACACTGAGACAAGACAGAAGACACTGAGACAAGACACTGAGACAAGACAGAAGACACTGAGACAAGACAGAAGACACTGAGACAAGACACTGAGACAAGACAGAAGACATTGAGACAAGACACTGAGACAAGACAGAAGACACTGAGACAAGACAGAAGACACTGAGACAAGACAGAGGACACTGAGACAAGACAGAAGACTCTGAGACAAGACACTGAGACAAGACAGAAGACACTGAGACAAGACAGAAGACACTGAGACAAGACAGAAGACACTGAGACAAGACAGAAGACACTGAGACAAGACATTGAGACAAGACAGAAGACATTGAGACAAGACATTGAGACAAGACAGAAGACATTGAGACAAGACATTGAGACAAGACACTGAGACAAGACAGAAGACACTGAGACAAGACAGAAGACACTGAGACAAGACAGAAGACACTGAGACAAGACAGAAGACACTGAGACAAGACATTAAGACACTGAGACAAGACAAGACAGAAGACACTGAGACAAGACAGAAGACACTGAGACAAGACACTGAGACAAGACAGAAGACACTGAGACAAGACACAGAGACAAGACAGAAGACACTGAGACAAGACAGAAGACACTGAGACAAGACAGAAGACACTGAGACAAGACAGAAGACCCTGAGACAAGACATTGAGACAAGACAGAAGACATTGAGATAAGACATTGAGACAAGACAGAAGACATTGAGACAAGACATTGAGACAAGACACTGAGACAAGACAGAAGACACTGAGACAAGACAGAAGACACTGAGACAAGACAGAAGACACTGAGACAAGACAGAAGACACTGAGACAAGACAGAAGACACTGAGACAAGACAGAAGACACTGAGACAAGACAGGAGTACTAAGACAAAACAGCGAGACATGAAAGAAGACATTGTGAAAAGAGACACATAAACTATATAAACTAGATATAGTTACAAAAACACCTTAACTCTACTCCATCTGCCCTACTAACCGCCACGTCTCATGTAACGTTACCTGTGGGCTGGCCAAGAGCAGCTTCACCCCGTGATGGCCACAGTCAGTGGCCAAGGTCTCTAGAGATTGGATGGCCGTGTAGTCCAGGTCAGTCAGCCTCTCCAGGTTCAGGAGAATCCATTGCGGCTTTTTACCTGCAAGACAGGATTGTGTTCACACCTTCTTCTTCTTCTTCTTCGTTCTTATTTGTAAAATAATGGATGAAATTTCCTCCAAGACAATATTACGTATCAACATTTATGCGTCATATGGCCCGTTGACTCCGACTTCAGTCTGCGTTTCTTTCTAGATGTACTTCCATAGCCTTTGTCCGCCAAAGAACAAAGAAGGAAGCAGATGTTTGATTTTGGAGTTGTCTCTCCTAGATGGAGTGTCGTCCCCAGCAACCCCCAGTTGGTATTCGCCCCTGACGGGTCATGATGAGTAACGTAAAGATCACAGCAAGTGACGTTACTGTCACTGAGAGTGACGTAAAGGTCACAATAAGTTATGTTATTGCTCAAGGTAATGATGTTATTGTCACTAAAATAAACTTTAAATAAATTTACCGACAACACTAGCCATTTATGATAACCACATTAATTAATTTAATGTTTCAATTATCATTCTTTACTAGTTAAATATTTAAGGTTTTTATTAATGCCTTAAGGAACTATAATTATTTTTATATTAAATATATTTATTTTGCTACAATGAGTTTCTAAGTACAGACTTAGACTATTGTGTATATTTAACACTTTTTGTCAGGTCACCCCCTGCCCTCCCCCACACCACCCCCATACCTTTACGACGCAAAGTATCATTATCATAATTTTAATTTTTAAAAAACCTTCCAAAGTTTTGTCCAAGACTTGACTCTCCATGTGCTCCGCGGCGGGGAAGTTCAGCCCCTGCAGGGGTGTGACGATAAGGAAGCCACGCCCACTGGTGAACTAGTGAGAAAAATGTTTGAAATAAACGATAAAACGATAGATGTATCAGTTGATGAATAAGTGATGGCAGATGAAAGCATTAGATAGAAACATGTACAAATGAAACTTGATAGAGTTACAAATATTAATGAACTTTGGATGAAAATAAAACTATTGGTAAAAGTGTATGAAAATGAAAATATAGATGAAAGTTGATGAAAATAAAACTATTGAAGAAAGTTGATGACAGTAAAAGTATTAACAAAAGTTGATAAAGCGTACAACGAACTGACTTGAAATTTAGGTCGGGCCAGCGGGTAGAGCAACAACACCAGGGAGACGCCTTTGCCGATCAGAATACCGTACTGTGGACAATAAAGGTACATCCTCACGTTGTTTACATAGCCTGCAGTGTTACAGGTCTAAATATAGACAGAAGTGTACGCAGTGGAGGGGGGGAGAGGGGGCAATAGTCTCACGTATATATATATATATATATATATATATATATATATATATATATATATATATATATATATATATATATATATATATATATATATATATATTAGACATACAAAATTAAATTAAAATTAAAAGTTAAGCTATATTTTCAATAGACTGATACAAACTTTACTATTGGAACTGTACAGAGGAGCGGGATATGTACTGGGGTTTTGACGCTGCTTCTTTCAGTCCATATTTCTATTGAATGACAGTTGTATCGCTTGTCGGCTATTGTTAAAATAACCTTTTCCACTTTCTCGAATACGAAGTAATCGTGCAAAAAAAAAATCGATTTTTTTGCAATTCTCGACGTTTTACAACTCCCTGAGTCGGAAAAGCATAGTTTCTCTGTGTGTGTATGTGTGTGTGTGTGTTTGTGCGTGTAGGTGTCTGTATGTCTGTGTGTGTCTGTGAACACGATAACTTGAGTACCGGTTGATGAAATTTCATATATAAGTATTATATCAAAATCATAGATCCTTACCAACTTTTGAGCGATTTCCGATAACCGGAAGTGGAACTTTTTCTACTTTGAATTTTTCAAAAGCCTATAAATTGAGTACTATTTCAGACAGATACATTAAATTTCATATGTAAGTTAAAGATCTAATTCTCTACCTTCTATCCAATTTTTGAGTAATTTTTGTTGATCGAAGTAATAATTTACGCTATTTCCGTTTTATCAAAAGACGATTGTGAATTTATAAAGTACTAATAATATTCCGCACTATTATGCACATTTTATTTGGCGCTAACTTGGTGTGCAATTCTTTTTTCTACGAGATTTTATTCTATTTTAAAAAGTTTAAGTATTTAAAATGGATTTAAAATATTGTTTATATCCCGAGTTGCCATCCCCTGTTGTTTCATATAAGCATATTTGAGAAAGTTTAGGGGAGATCACTCCCGGTTTATTTTTTATATCATTTAAACATTATACGACTATCCTAATATATAAAAGCCCATGTGCGCACTTCTCTCTATCTCTCTCTCTCTCTCTCTCTCTCTCTCTCTTCACCCCATGCGAATGGCTATCTCTGTTTTTGTCAATGATCAGATCACTGAGTAACTAATAGATATATCCGCACTTCCTGTGTGGATCGGCCGACTAACTCAATGATAATTGCTCCGTCTCTAAGCAGTTTGAATCTATAAATAGAATAACAAAAGGAAGGAAACGAAATTTTAAACTGATTTCCGCCATTAAAAAAATAACATGAAACCTACAGTTCACGACACATCGCATAGGAATTTAAAATAAATATTAGGCCTATAGGTTTAATACATAGTGCATAGAATATAGAAATTTAGATCTAGTGTTCTGGTTAGTAGTTATTTCATGTTTATTAGAATATAGTCTAGAATCTAATCATACGGCTGCATAAAAAGAAAGTTTGAAGGAAATAGAATAGGAATCTAGAGAAGCGGAGGTAAGAAGGTTAAATTAGTAATTTACATGATTTTTATTGTAGTTTAACTGTTTGTTAGGCCCAATTATTAAATCTTTAGATCAGAGGTCCAGCTTGATCATGTGTGGTATCTATTGTGGTGCATTGGAATGAAAAGCCCACATACTTAAATATAGAATCTAGTAGGCCTATACTATAACTGTACTGCCCTATACTTTAAATTTGTTGCCACAAGAAAAAAGCCTATTTACTATTAGGCCTATTAGTTATAATTTAATTAAATTGAAATATTTGATTATCTTTATAGTTTATAGTGAATGCATGCTAATGAGCATTATTCAAGCTGCTGTTATATTTAGGCTCATAGGCCTATATACTCTATAGCTTAGGCTATATACTATAGACTATATATTATATACCAATATTGTGCATAAAACTTAAAGCATGTAAGCATACACAATAATAATTATCATTAGACCTATAGTAACTTAGACTCGTACTATTTAGTACTACTTTAATAGTACCTTTAAACTATTAGGCATAATGAAATAATGATTAATGATTTCAGTGTTTTCCGCACTCGAGAGGAAAGAGGTTGCAGGGAACTTAGAGACTAATCTTTGCCAACAAACTGGATTTCTGGTGATGACAATAGCAGCAGATAGTATGCGGCTCAGTTAATACTAAAAACAATTGATTTTACTAATTAGTGGTAAGCTCTTTTTTAAAATAATATATTATAACATGGTATCGCAAAGGTTCAGGTTGTCCAATAAATGGTAATTAGAGTCAGGTTTAGGACTATAGTTTAATGCTTGGTTAGTAATATGCATCAAGTTGGGAAAGACATAGAAATGGAAATACTTAGAATTTAATGTGTTCATTCGCAAACGTTACTATTTAAATTTTTTTAGGGCTGCTATTTATTGCTGAATAATAAAATCACTATACTTATCCACTATATTATGTTTAAATAAAGTGAGTTTAGATCAGTCGAGTAAATAAATTTAATAGCAAGACATAGCTAAAATTTACAATGAATATATATATATATATATATATATATATATATATATATATATATATATATATATATATATATATATATATATATATATAATTTGATTGCTATTTTATAAAAGTATGTAAATCACAGACCAAACATTACTTTGTATTGTGTCTACCACTTAACGAAAAATGCTACTACTTTGATGGATTGCACTAAATAGGGGTTAGCTTTAATTTAATAATTTGTGAGATATTCTTGCTAATCTATGTGTAAATTGCTTTTCAGGACTATGAGTGTGTGTTTGGCCATCCAGATTTTATAACTACAACTGATGTTCAATTACAAGGGATATTAATCAGTCTCCGTGGACTATACACTGTGCCTAGTTTCATCCTCAGGTAACTGTACTATAGGCATAACCCATTTTTTAAAGTAATTATTATAGCAAGAGATAGTATTGTATGTTATAATAAATATAATGGATTTTAATCAAAAATATTGTATTAATTATTGTCTTTTTTAAAATTCTAATAAATCAGTGAGTGTACAACATAGAGGGTATTATATTTGAATGATAATTGAAACACATATTGTTATAGAGCTCAAAACTATGTACTTATCTAATATAATTAATATACTGAAACAGTTTTATTGAAGCATATTATTTCATATTTTACCACACAGAGACTGATGTGTAAGCTTAAAGTAAAGACATCAAATCAAAGTATCAGCCATCAAGAGGGTAAATATTGATAGTCTAATTCATTAATCTTCAATATGAATGAACACAATTTTAAATCTATAATCTTTGCTGATAATGTTTGTTTCTTGTTATTCATCATGTTCAGTGCTTTATCTTTTCAAAGTAATTAGTTATAGTTAAGAAATATTAGAGATAGTAATATAAATTTGTAATTTATTTTTCCTGCAAGTTCCACAAAAGAAAGTATCAAAATATTTTGCCTTTATTTCATTTACAGAAAAACATTCAAATCATATTGTGATACACAAGTCAAGCAAGTCTGACCAGCATTTTGATACAGGCCAAGAAAAAGCTGGATACTTGATTGGAAGGGTCGCACAAAAAACATGGGTTATCACTAGGGAAACAAGCTCGCAATACAGTTCACTGTTAGGACAGCAAGCCAAATACTTCTAAACTTATTTGAATCATTTTTGCTGTTTATTATAATTCATCCAATTGTCTTATTAAATAAATAAATTTTTATATATACACAATTCCTAATATAGAATTTCTAAAAATGTTTTATTATAATATTTAAAAATGAAACAAACATGTTCCCAGAACACAGCCACATAATGTCAACATGTTCCCAGAACACAGCCACATAATGTCAACATGTTCCCAGAACACAGCCAAATAATGGCAACATGTTCCCAGAACACACAAAATGGCAACATGTTCCCAGAACACACAAAATGGCAACATGTTCCCAGAACACAGCCAAATAATGTCAACATGTTACATGAACTCACAAAATGGCAACATGTTCCCAGAACACACAAAATGGCAACATGTTCCCAGAACACAGCCAAATAATGTCAACATGTTCCATGAACTCACAAAATGGCAACATGTTCCCAGAACACACAAAATGGCAACATGTGCCGAGAACACAAAAAATGACAACATGTGCCGAGAACAATGCCCCTTACAGATGACATGTTCCCAGAACACAGCCCGTAGTTGGTCTGCCATAAAAAGTTAACAATACTTTACTTTTTCCTTAACAATTTTACAAGCAGGTAATAAAGCCATAAATCTTTACTGTGGATATAGCCAATAAATAGGGTAACCTTCACTATATGCAATTTGTAGTTTTCAATGCCTGTCCCATGCATATTATTTAGCCTAGTGTTTTGGGCCGTGCTTCATTTACTCAATAAATTATATAGGCATGAGAATTTTCATTTTAATCTGCAAAAGCTACATTCTGTACATTATTATTTTCAAACTACATCATATATTTTTCTCTTCTCTGATAAAAAATATTCCTCATATTGTTTGTGTCAAGTATTTTATTGTTATCTATGCAATGCTATATTCTTATTTTATAATAATTACTTTTATACAAATTCTTTTGAAAACTGTTCTTTATTGATGTGTATCATTTTCTTTATTTCTGAAAAATAAAACTTTGTTTGGGAATCCTTTTTTTGTTTCTGTACAAATTAATAAATATAAATACCTACCAGGCTTAATATCCAGCAACATTAAACAATTAAGTAGGGCCTATTGTTAGTAATGGTAAATTATATACTAATTAATGTGATTTCAACTGTGTCAATGTTGCTACCAACTCCAATAATTAAAACTGAAGCCATTTACTATGAAGTAAAACTTGGGTGTAATCCAAATCCACCCAGTTGCCGTAAAATATAGGCTTATTTAAAAAAAAGCATAACTAAAAAGTGTTTAAACGCATTTTCTTCTTAGAAAAGCCGCACATGCATGATATCATTAACATTACGGCAAATCAAACCCTTGAAGAAGCCCCATCAACCATTCAATCATTACGATGGGCAACAAATAAAACGCCCGCATCAAGGTACAGTCCTTATGCTATCGACATTAGCTCAACCCCGGCAACTAACGTGTCCCAAAACCAAGAATTGAAATCTTGACCCATTATTCTGATTAATTAGTGGTTAAACATCTTTAGGCATCTGAAAACGTTAGTTTTTAATCTAGTGTACTAAAAAAGGAACAACATAAAGCTTTATGCCGCCTTAAAAACCCAATCCCATGTTACGCAAGGCGTCGATAGAGAAAGAATAAGGCTTTGAGTCAGAACAGGCAAGGGCTTAGATAACTGCCAAAATACCTAATCTGTAGACCTCACAAAGGCATGTGAATTTCAGACGAAATACATGTTATGTGGTCAGTAGGTACATAAAAGAGAAAAGTAGTTTTAATCTAGAGACTTCAAACATTTCTGAAGGACCGAATTTGAACTTGTAGGCCGTGGTGTCGATGCCAAAGTTTAGCGTCGTCCGCAAAGATAAGCTATCGTTATATCATCTCTATGCCCATATTGTGACAGATATTTACAAATGTGTCTAATATAGGACAGAATACATAGCTACTCAACAGAGATAAGCGCAATCACTTGTCCACGACTTAAGAAACCACTGTACTGCAATTGTGAAAATTGTGACTAAGTTTCCGGGTGCGGGTATGCGGACACTAGTTAAAGTAGGCCCTATATATCTATTTATATTTATAGAAATGAAAGTATGTTTAACTGTTTGTCCTATACGAATTACTACATCTTTTTCATCGGATCGCCATAAAACTTTGTGAACAGAGTTTTTTTCCAGGAATCTATTCGGAGGGGGGGGGGGGGGGAAGCAGAGCCCCCCCCCCACCCCCCGAAGAAAGTATCGCCCCCCCACCCCCGAACGAAACGGAATTTATATAGAAAAAAATACTTTTAACAGTGTCTGCACGCCCCCACCCCCCCCCCCCCGGAAAGATTTCGCCAGGGCGGCACCCTAGCAGGAAGCAGAAGCGTAGCTACCTATTCCGGCAGCCGGGGCGAACTATCACTTATGTGCCAACCCTATTCAAACGCTGGCAAAAAGGCGCCCATCCCTACATACACTCCCCTATATAAAATAATTGAGGATATCAGCCATGTATAAATCTGTTTTCTTAAATTTTACTGAAGAATGAGGATTTTTTAAAAAATTGTCTACCCCTTTTGGCGCCCCATTCGATCTGGGGTCTCTGACAGGAAGCAATGCAATTTTTCTCCATAAAAATAAAAGCCAGATGCAATTTGACACTGTTCGTACGAGAGTCATAAAATTTTGGGTAGTTGGTGAAAAGGGTTTCGAGAAAGAAAAAAATTCTTAAGTGTGGCACCCTGGGAGGGTTCGATTTTTCTAATTATACGATTATGAGCTCAGAATCCAGAGGGGAATCCAGAGGGGCTATCTCATCAATTGCGGTCATAGGTAATACTAGATTCAGCAGAGGCGCAGCGAGGGGGGGCGGGGGGGTACATATGTCCACGGGCGCCAACCCTAGGGTGGCCAAAATGGTTGGAAAAATTTAAAAGCTCATTTTAGCTATAGTTTTGCATTATAAATATTTAAAAAATACGGGGAGGGGGCGCCAAATTGAAAGTTTGTCTCCGGCGGTAGGGGGGGGGCGCCAAATTGAAAATTTGTCCCCAGGCGCCAGGAATGGTGCTACGCCTCTGAGATTCAGTGATAAAACTACACCAGGTTCATCCGCCAGCTCCCCGGCGGTTGAGTGGCCCATCTCGGGCGACACTACGGTTTAGATGGGCTACTATAAATGTTCACTAAGTAGAATAATGAGCGCCCGCCGGCGCCCTGGCAGTTGGCGACAGCGAGCACCCCGGGCTCTACAGAGAGTGCCTCCTTAAAGAGCACCCTACAATAGGGACACGGTGGCACACGACATTTTATAATTAAACCGAATTAGGGGCGCCCCTGCGGAAATATAACCAGTGGCTCCCTGGAACGCCAAGGGACGCGTCTCTAACACATGGGCGGTCGCCAATGTGTGTTCTACCTCACTATTACAGAGGTTGATTAACGTACACTCAAGGCTTTCATACAGTGAGCCTTGGTGCGTCTAGGCGGCAGTGTGGACAAACCCGCGCCCCAAAAACGAATATGTGGGTTTGTTTGTTTAAGCATTATCAAAGATTTCATTCGTTTGTCATTCAAATTTGAGAAGTTAATGCTAATACCCCTGTGGTGGTTTCTACGAAAAAAAATTCGATTTGGTGGCGCCCTGGCAGGGTTCCATTTAGCTCCCCGGGTTTTCCCGTGAGTACTATGGTACCTTTGTTCGTTTTAATAATTGCGAAACGCTATGAATATGATGGGCTAATATAATCGCTCACTATACCGAGTGAGGCGCCTTCCTACCTACGCCCACCTACCTACATACCTAACTCCCTGCCTACGTACCTACCTATCTACTAACCTGCCTGCGCTGCTGCCTGCCTACCTACTTTCCTACCTACCGTTATTCCTGCCAAACTGCTTTCCTTCCACCCCGCCTGTCTACACACCTCACATCCTACTTACACACACACATATCTTCGTATGTATATATGCATGTGTTAGTGTGCTCTAGGACTATGTATTTTTACATTTTTTTGTTACGTAGAACTATTCAGTATAAAGGAGTTTCCTTTTTTTTTTTTGACGTTGTAACTGCCGCTAAAATATTCTTTTTTGTATGTGTGCATAAAATAGTGTAGGTTTATTAACAAAAGTAAATTTAAGTATGTATTTAAGTGTATATAATCATTTTCGTCAAGCCAATGTGTTCATAATCTTAAATTTAAAAACCCATGAAACTCGATAGCCAAAGATTTAGAATGAGAATAATTGCTATTTAACCAGTAACACCTATTCTAATTATTGTAATAATATTTTTTAAAAATAAATATACACAGAGATAGATTGTTTTCTTATATAATTTATTTAAAAAGTCAACTGTATTTCATAACGAAAATTAACACAAAATACATTCGAATAGAAACTGTCAAGGGAGACTACACTAATATTTGTAGGAATAATAGTTTTTATTTTTATTTAGAGTTTTTTTTTATTATTAGAAGAAAAGTTAATCATGTAGGTTCTATAAAAGATTACCTTGCATTTAAAAAAAAAGATATTCGATAGGTTTAGAAAGAGAAATAGTCAAAATTATTTATTATATTCATTAGTTGTTTTTTTTTAATAATATAGTACAAAGACCTGTTTTAATTATTTTTTTAAAATCTTATTTTAATTAATAAATTATAAATGAAGATCGAGGATCTATATTTTTTTAAAATAGTTTAACTGTCCCTAAACAATTGTATCAATCGCTGAGAAATTAAGAATTAATAATTACGTTTAACGCTTTATTAATTAAACGAGTTGAATTATTTCCGTTTTGATAAACTCTCTCTCTCTTTATAACTACTAACGCTTTATCATTGAGTTTCTTAAGAGAAAAATACAGGAGAGCGGTAGTTATCATTGACTCTGTCATTGATAATTTCATTGAGTCTTTCATAGAAAATAGTGTTTGATCGGCTGCTCTCTTTCTCTCTCTCTCTCTCTCTCTCTCTCTGTCCGCAAAATATTTTTGCAGGGTATCACATCAGAATCTTCAGCGATATATAAAGAACTTGATTTGGACTTTTGTTGAAAATAATATGGTAGATGTTTTAAATGTATAGCCAACATTTTATTTAAAGAAGAAAAATAAAAAAATAAAGGCATATTCGAATGTACAAAAACAGTTTTAATTATGCAACAGGAAAAGTGTTTATAGTTGTGAAAAAGAACCCATGAAACACTAATGTTTATACATTAACTAATGATGTCATCTGCCGAGTTTAGAATAAAAAGAAATGAACTATTTCATTCAAATTTGATTTAGATCTACTTACGCTATGAAATGTATACAATACATTTTTTTCGGCCTAAACTTATAACATTTATTGTATCTATTTGGATTCTAGATCTAGACTAGATCAAAATCTACGCAAAAACTAGAGGTAGACGCTAAGATCTAGATTTAGACTCTAGAATCTAGATCTACTCTAGAATCTATTCCAAAAATAAATTTCTATATTAAACTATTTCAGGCCTTAATTATTTTATAGAAATCTTTGTTGTTTAGCTATGGAACTGGCAAATTTGGGATAAAAAAATTAATTTGAAAGAACAGGCATATTAGCGTAAGTTAAGTTTTTTTTAAATACGTCTTTCATTCTCCATGTTTTATAGTGTACCTAAATAGCTGAGATAATAGTGTACGCAGGTGGTGCGGGATCGAGACACACCAAGTCAAACTTAATTTTTTTTTTAAAAATATGTTTGTCTTCCGATTATAGACTATATAGAAAGGAACTACTTCATTCAAATTTGATTTAGATCTAGATCTATAGATCTACTCATCATGACGTACGCTATGAAATATATACAATTTTATCGGTCAAACTTATACAAATTACTTTAAAACAACAAAATGATAATTGAAAAGCCAGATTTTTAACGGAATCATTTAAGTCTCTTAATCAGTGTGTGCCTGTGTTATGTTAAATGTGTCGGATTTTGAGCGGATTAGTTATTTCTTTGCTTTGTCACTAATATCGTTCAGCGTGTAGTAAAGCACATTGCGTTTTTTTGACCAATAACTATTTCATAAGTTATTTTCTCAAACAAGTACAACATTTTAAAATATATAGGCCTATAATTCACGTGAAACTGGTACCGACGGCTAGCGGTTCAATGCTTATTAATTGAACAAGCTCTGGTAATATCTGAAGTCTTCAAATCATTTATTCTATACCACTAATGGGTTTTCAGTTTAGACTAGAGTCAAAAAGATAATTCAAAACTAAACCATATTTATAAATATTACAAAATTTATTACCAAAATTATTTAATTATATTTCAAAATATAGTAAATATGAATGCCATTTTTCTTTAAATGTGTTATTAATGAATATCTTAACTTTTAAGAACGTTATGAATTGTTTCCCTTTACATTTTAAAAATATTCATTACTAAATGATTCAATATTTAAAATAGCAGTATATGGGGTCTACGACAAATTCCCGAAAGACACTTGCCCGAATGCCGTTTGCCCGAAGGCCGATTTCCCGAATGGACACTTGCCCGAATGCGACAAATGCCCGAATGGACACTTGCCCGAATGGGACAAATGCCCGAATGGACTCTTGCCCGAATGCGACAAATGCCCGAATGGACACTTGCCCGAATGCGACAAATGCCCGAATGGACACTTGCCCGAATGCGACAAATGCCCGAATGCCACTTGCCCGAAGGCCGTTTGCCCGAAAAATGTTATCAATAAAATATTACCAAATAGTCATTCGTGATCAATTTAAATTTGAAATTTTGATAAACAATACATATATTAACAAAAATAAAGGGAAAATATTTAATATGATATACTAACACGAAGATATTATTAATTAATTTGTATTTAAATAGAGATCAAACATAAAAGACTAACATTAGTTTTTTAATTCGCCGCCTAGGCCCCGCCTCATTCTATTGTTGAATGATCACCACCCAAGTTAAGCATAACAAGATAAACCAAGCAAACGTGCCTCTGTTCAATGTTGCGAAACGCCGCGCCGCCTACACTGTGTCATAAGCGCTATATAACCACCGCAACACGTCGACTGCACAAGGTGGTCAAAACTTACACATCAAAAGAATGTTAAGATACCGGCGCCAACATAACCTTACATTTATGAAAGAATAAAGAAATGTTATTACGGAAATTTCTCATATTAAAAAAAAAATTAAAGCTCAATTTTAAAAATATAAACACATTTGTTTTTATGCTTAAAACTGTGTTGATTTTCAAAATTTCAAACTTAAATTGATTATGAATGTCTATTTGGTTATAGAATTTTTTATTCAATTTTTACATTTTTCGGGCAAACGGCCTTCGGGCAAGTGGCATTCGGGCATTTGTCGCATTCGGGCAAGTGTCCATTCGGACATTTGTCGCATTCGGGCAAGTGTCCATTCGGCATTTGTCGCATTCGGGCAAGTGTCCATTCGGGCATTTGTCGCATTCGGGCAAGTGTCTTTCGGGAAAACGTCCGGCTCCCCAGAATATGAATGGATGTAGCAAAACGTTTAGGGTTAAGGTTAAATTATGCTCACCTCTATACCAATTAACAGTGAAGGTTAAGGTTATACTCACCTCTATACCAATCAACAGTGAAGGTTAAGGTTATGCTGACCTCTATACCAATCAATAGTGAAGGTTAAGGTCAGGTTATACTTACCTCTATACCAATCAACAGTGAAGGTTAGGTTATACTCACCTCTATACCAATCAACAGTGAAGGTTAAGGTTATGCTGACCTCTATACCAATAACAACAGTGAGGGTTAGGTTATACTCACCTCTATACCAATCAACAGTTAAGGTCAGGTTATGCTCACCTCTATACCAATGAGCAGTGAAGGTTAAGGTTATGTGTGTACTCACCTCTATACCAATCAACAGGGAACATACGAAGGTGATGACGTAAGGAATAATGTCCCACTCTGTGAGAAAACAAAACAGAGTAAGATTGTAGTCTCACTGTAATAGTAAATTCTCACTGCTTTATGATTAGAATGGATTCCATTGTAATACTGTAAAGAATAAACTATTGTGTATTTTACCCCTTTCCCCTGAAATTGTGTCAACATGCCCCCCCCCCCCCCCCCCAACTTCATTAACAGGTAATTATCACCAATTTCAGGTCAAATCTCCTCATGGCCAGGCAACCATCTTTAGCCACCCCAATGACCCACCCGTCACCTTTTAGCCATCCCCCTTTCCCACCCCCCAACTAGCCTAATATGTACCTCTTATCTCGCCCATCATCAGCCACCCGTAATATTTGCCTCCTCCCTCCCCCCCCCCCCCCCCCCCCACCACTTCCCAATTACCCACCACTGACACTTGCACAAACCTCTTCCCATAAATCAACCAAATTAATCTCCCCCCAAATGACCCTAACCTATGACCAACTCCCCCTCCCCCCTATGACCAACTCTCCCTCCCTCTCCCCCCCCCCCCCCGACCCACCCACCAACTTACTGTCAGTCCTCCACAACTTGACCACCATACGGTACTCCACCATGGGCAGGACGGCGGCGATGATGACAGCCGCCAACGCCGCCCTAGGGATGTAGTAGAACCAGGGTGTCAGTACACACAGGGCCAGGATCACCAGACCCCCCGTCCAGACCCCACTCAGGGGTGTCTTCACCCCGCTCTGGGAGTTCACGGCCGTTCTAGAAAAAAATTAAATAATTAAATTAATTATCCACTTTTGCTATATGTCATGGTAACACATGTTACAGATGAAGTAGAGTTTATCTTGTTTAGAAGGGGCAATTTAAAGAGCTGACAAAATTTTCGACTGGTGCCGGACTGGACACTTGATTATCAGCTTAGTGAAAAATAATATCCCTCGCCACAGTGGCGTCGCTAAGTCGGGTGTCACCCGGTGCGGCACTTCGTGTTGTCACCCTCCCCCGAGAAACAAAGTATATATATATATATATATATATATATATATATATATATATATATATATATATATATATATATATATATATATATATATATATATATATATATATATATATATATATATATATATATATATATATATATATATATATATATATATATATATATATATATATATATAATTTTATATATATTTTTTGCAACTAGCAAAAAAGCATTTTTCTTCTGTACATTTTGCAATTTTTTGCCATGGTGTCAACCTCCTAAATGGTGTCACCCGATGCGGTCCGTACCCCCCCCCCCCCGCCCCGCCCTCTCTACGCCTCTGCCTCACCAACTGATAAGCAATCAACATCGCCAAAGTAGAATATGTTGGCCTAGTAAATATTTTATGACATTTTTTTACAGGCTAAATAAAAATAATTTATCTGGTCAAGTGATAAAATATTTACTTGGCCAGTGGAAAAACAAGTTTTACTATAAATACAAATACCGGCCAACTGGTACAATTATTTATCTGGCCAAATATAAAACATTTTACCTGGCGAAACTTCCGGTCAGCGGGTACGACTGAAAGAATGAGCTGACGATGTTTGACGCACCAATGGCCAGCAACTCTTGGGTAGGGTCAATCTTGTAGTTGTTGTCACGTGCTGTTGAACAAATCACACCATTGGTCAGTTACGCGACGTCATATTATTTAAAGAATTTGATCATGGTTTGCTTTCTAATGTATATTTTTAATAGTGTGTTGAGCGTTTCTGTAATCATTTCAGACCTTTAAATTGTGTTTAACAACAACTTTTAAGATTCTTACCAAAAGCTTTTCCTATGGCCATTGTTTCTACTAAGGCAAGCAAAGGGACGATGGCAACACCAATACCGATGTTCTGAAAACCAGAAAAGAACATTTTAAGAAAAAAATAAAAATCACTTTCTCGTATATAGCCAATACCCGCTCAAGAATTTGCTCGAAAACCAGGCAGACTGGAAGATGGTTAAGAATCGAGCATTTCTCATGATGTCAGAGGCGTAGCGGGGACAAAATTTTCCATTTGCACCCCCCTTCAAACTTTCGATTTCCACCCCCCCCCCCCTCAAGATTTCGATTTGCACCTTTCCCCCCCCCCCCCTCAAACTTTCGATTTGCACCCCCCCCCCCTCAACCTTTCAATTTATTTTTCCAACCCATTTTGGCGCCCCCTAAGGTCGGCGCCCGGGGACATATGTCGTCCCCCCCCCGCCACCCCCCCACCCCCTCGCTACGCTACTGCATCATGATGCCAGCAGCTGGACCCGTGGGTTGCAGCAAGGCTTCTGCCTCCTCCCCCTTGGTTTGGATATGAGGGGCAGTTGGGGTCAAAGGTAGACCCACGGTCTCAAGCCCGTGTATCGAACTCGTGACTTTTACCTTGGGCATACAAAGACGCCTTTCCTGCTTTGTACTGAGTATGTATAGCGTGCTTTTTGCATTTCTTGCCCTTTCAGAATGGACCGTCTTGGAAGGTTCACCGTACTGAAGTTTATTTTTAATCGATGTGAAATCTTTTTTTTTTTCTAAAAGGATCACTTTATTGACATGAAGACAATCCTGTAACAGTTAAGCAACCAAAGCAGAAGCAGTAGAGGATTCATTTTTCCAGGTAGGAGGCAAAACTTTTTTAGTGTTGTAATAACGAGCTAAACGATGAATCCTAGATTCAACGAAAATAAGAATATATACATCACACTACATAAAATAAGGTAATCTCTTTAGTCTTCACATTATTTGTTCCATACTGCTAAGGTTTGTATAGCTCAACTAGAGTCACAAGATAATTCGAAACTACTCCAAATATACAAATATGACAAAATTTCGTGCTAAAAATACTGTACTTATGTTTATTGAAATAAGAAATATGTATGCTTTTTTTTCATAATTGTGTTACTAATGAATATATAAACTTTAAAAAAACGTTATAAATTGTCTCCCTTGAACATTTAAAAATAAACGTTAGGAAGTTACTAACACATTTAATTTTCATTACTTAACGATTCAATATTCAAAATAGCTGTATATCAATTAATGGGTAATATATATATATATATATATATATATATATATATATATATATATATATATATATATATATATATATATATATATATATACAAATGTTTAGGGTTTAATCTAGCTGTATGCGCAGCTCTAAACCAATCAATCGACACTAGTCTATCAACTCACTGAGAATATCTCCCCGGCGGACATGGTAATGTTCCCGTCAGTCATTTTAAACTTGGGGAACCCGACGGTCGGGAACCCGGCCTGTATGTTCCCCGTGACGGTGACGGTGCCGTTGTGTCCGTTGTTCTCCATGATGGCTACCACACCAGCGGCGACGATCACCACAATGGCGTTGGCCGCTGAAACAGAGAACACACAATGTCACTTGTCCCAAATACCATATTTCCTTAATGACATATATCCCAAATGACATCCGTCCCAAATGCAACCTTTTCTAAATGCCGCCTATCCCGAAGCCATGTGTTCCAAATACCATTTCCCCCAAATGCAATATGTCATAAATGTCATATATCACAAATGTCATATGTCACAAACGTAATATGCCCCAAATGCCATATGTCTTATATGTACCATATGGCATCTGTTCAAATGCCAAATGTCCCTAATGTCACCTGTCCTAAATCTCACGTGTTGCAAATGCCTTTCGTCCCTAATGCCACCTGTCCCTTATGACACCTGTCCCAAATGTCACCTGTTCCAAATGCCACCTGTCCCAAATGCCTTCACTCCCTAATGCCACCTGTCCTAAATGTCACCTGTACCAAATGCCACCTGTCCCAAATGCCACCTGTCCCAAATTCCACATGTCCTAAATGCCACCTGTCCCAAATGTCATCTGTCCCAAATGTCACCTGTCCCAAATGCCTTCACTCCCAAATGCCACCTGTCCCAAATGTCACCTGTCCCAAATTCCACATGTCCCAAATGCCACCAGCCCCAAATGCCACCTGCCCCAAATGTCACCTATCCCAAATGCCTTACGTCCAAAATACCTCCTGTCCCAAATTCCACCTGTCCAAAATGTCACCTGTCTCACCATGTTCTAGACTCACCTGTCCCCATCGTCCAGACACATTTCTGCAGCATCCTGAACGCTACGGACACCTTCCTTTCTGTGTCGCCTGGTTTTCTCCACTTGACCTCTCGCAACTTCTTCATACAGACCACGGCAATCAGACACAGTATGGCTACAGTCATGTCCCCTAGCCTGTAAGTAGACAGTATGGCTACAGTCATGTCCCCTAGCCTGTAAGTAGACACAGTATAGCTACAGTCATGTCCCCTAGCCTGTAAGTAGACACAGTATAGCTACAGTCATGTCCCCTAGCCTGTAGGTAGACACAGTATAGCTACAGTCATGTCCCCTAGCCTGTAGACAGACACAGTATAGCTACAGTCATGTCCCCTAGCCTGTAGGTAGACACAGTATAGCTACAGTCATGTCCTCTAGCCTGTAGGTAGACACAGTATAGCTACAGTCATGTCCCCTAGCCTGTAGGCAATCAGACACAGTATGGCTACAGTCATGTCCCCTAGCCTGTAGGCAATCAGACACAGTATAGCTACAGTCATGTCCCCTAGCCTGTAGGTAGACACAGTATATCTACAGTCATGTCCCTTAGCCTGTAGACAGACACAGTATAGCTACAGTCATGTCCCCTAGCCTGTAGGCAGACACAGTATAGCTACAGTCATGTCCCCTAGCCTGTAGGTAGACACAGTATAGCTACAGTCATGTCCCCTAGCCTGTAGGCAGACACAGTATGGCTACAGTCATGTCCCCTAGCCTGTAGGCAGACACAGTATGGCTACAGTCATGTCCCCTAGCCTGTAGGCAATCAGACACATTATGGCTACAGTCATGTCCCCTAACCTGTAGGCAATCAGACACAGTATGGCTACAGTCATGTCCCCTAGCCTGTAGGTAGACACAGTATAGCTACAGTCATGTCCCCTAGCCTGTAGGCAGACACAGTATAGCTACAGTCATGTCCCCTAGCCTGTAGGTAGACACAGTATAGCTACAGTCATGTCCCCTAGCCTGTAGGCAGACACAGTATGGCTACAGTCATGTCCCCTAGCCTGTAGGTAGACACAGTATAGCTACAGTCATGTCCCCCTAGCCTGTAGGCAATCAGACACAGTATGGCTACAGTCATGTCCCCTAGCCTGTAGGTAGACACAGTATAGCTACAGTCATGTCCCCTAGCCTGTAGGCAGACACAGTATGGCTACAGTCATGTCCCCTAGCCTGTAGGCAGACACAGTATAGCTACAGTCATGTCCCCTAGCCTGTAGACAGACACAGTATAGCTACAGTCATGTCCCCCTAGCCTGTAGACAATCAGACACAGTATAGCTACAGTCATGTCCCCTAGCCTGTAGGCAGACACAGTATGGCTACAGTCATGTCCCCTAGCCTGTAGGCAGACACAGTATAGCTACAGTCATGTCCCCTAGCCTGTAGGCAATCATACACAGTATAGCTACAGTCATGTCCCCTAGCCTGTAGGCAGACACAGTATAGCTACAGTCATGTCCCCTAGCCTGTAGGCAGACACAGTATGGCTACAGTCATGTCCCCCTAGCCTGTAGGCAATCAGACACAGTATAGCTACAGTCATGTCCCCTAGCCTGTAGGCAATCAGACACAGTATAGCTACAGTCATGTCCCCTAGCCTGTAGGCAATCAGACACAGTATAGCTACAGTCATGTCCCCTAGCCTGTAGACAGACACAGTATAGCTACAGTCATGTCCCCTAGCCTGTAGGCAATCAGACACAGTATAGCTACAGTCATGTCCCCTAGCCTGTAGGTAGACACAGTATAGCTACAGTCATGTCCCCTAGCCTGTAGGTAGACACAGTATAGCTACAGTCATGTCCCCTAGCCTGTAGGCAATCAGACACAGTATAGCTACAGTCATGTCCCCTAGCCTGTAGGTAGACACAGTATAGCTACAGTCATGTCCCCTAGCCTGTAGGTAATCAGACACAGTATAGCTACAGTCATGTCCCCTAGCCTGTAGGCAGACACAGTATAGCTACAGTCATGTCCCCTAGCCTGTAGGCAATCAGACACAGTATAGCTACAGTCATGTCCCCTAGCCTGTAGACAATCAGACACAGTATAGCTACAGTCATGTCCCCTAGCCTGTAGGCAGACACAGTATAGCTACAGTCATGTCCCCTAGCCTGTAGGCAGACACAGTATAGCTACAGTCATGTCCCCTAGCCTGTAGGCAGACACAGTATAGCTACAGTCATGTCCCCTAGCCTGTAGGCAATCAGACACAGTATAGCTACAGTCATGTCCCCTAGCCTGTAGACCATCAGACACAGTATAGCTACAGTCATGTCCCCTAGCCTGTAGGTAGACACAGTATAGCTACAGTCATGTCCCCTAGCCTGTAGACAGACACAGTATAGCTACAGTCATGTCCCCCTAGCCTGTAGGCAATCAGACACAGTATGGCTACAGTCATGTCCCCTAGCCTGTAGACAATCAGACACAGTATAGCTACAGTCATGTCCCCTAACCTGTAGGTAGACACAGTATAGCTACAGTCATGTCCTCTAGCCTGTAGGCAATCAGACACAGTATAGCTATAGTCATGTCCCCTAGCCTGTAGGTAGACACAGTATAGCTACAGTCATGTCCTCTAGCCTGTAGGCAATCAGACACAGTATAGCTACAGTCATGTCCCCTAGCCTGTAGGTAGACACAGTATAGCTACAGTCATGTCCTCTAGCCTGTAGGCAATCAGACACAGTATAGCTACAGTCATGTTCCCTAGCATGTAGACAGACACAGTATAGCTACAGTCATGTCCCCTAGCCTGTAGGCAATCAGACACAGTATGGCTACAGTCATGTCCCCTAGCCTGTAGGCAATCAGACACAGTATAGCTACAGTCATGTCCCCTAGCCTGTAGGTAGACACAGTATAGCTACAGTCATGTCCCTTAGCCTGTAGACAGACACAGTATAGCTACAGTCATGTCCCCTAGCCTGTAGGCAGACACAGTATAGCTACAGTCATGTCCCCTAGCCTGTAGGTAGACACAGTATAGCTACAGTCATGTCCCCTAGCCTGTAGACAGACACAGTATAGCTACAGTCATGTCCCCTAGCCTGTAGGTAGACACAGTATAGCTACAGTCATGTCCTCTAGCCTGTAGGTAGACACAGTATAGCTACAGTCATGTCCCCTAGCCTGTAGGCAATCAGACACAGTATGGCTACAGTCATGTCCCCTAGCCTGTAGGCAATCAGACACAGTATAGCTACAGTCATGTCCCCTAGCCTGTAGGTAGACACAGTATAGCTACAGTCATGTCCCTTAGCCTGTAGACAGACACAGTATAGCTACAGTCATGTCCCCTAGCCTGTAGGCAGACACAGTATAGCTACAGTCATGTCCCCTAGCCTGTAGGTAGACACAGTATAGCTACAGTCATGTCCCCTAGCCTGTAGGCAGACACAGTATGGCTACAGTCATGTCCCCTAGCCTGTAGGCAGACACAGTATGGCTACAGTCATGTCCCCTAGCCTGTAGGCAATCAGACACATTATGGCTACAGTCATGTCCCCTAACCTGTAGGCAATCAGACACAGTATGGCTACAGTCATGTCCCCTAGCCTGTAGGTAGACACAGTATAGCTACAGTCATGTCCCCTAGCCTGTAGGCAGACACAGTATAGCTACAGTCATGTCCCCTAGCCTGTAGGTAGACACAGTATAGCTACAGTCATGTCCCCTAGCCTGTAGGCAGACACAGTATGGCTACAGTCATGTCCCCTAGCCTGTAGGTAGACACAGTATAGCTACAGTCATGTCCCCCTAGCCTGTAGGCAATCAGACACAGTATGGCTACAGTCATGTCCCCTAGCCTGTAGGTAGACACAGTATAGCTACAGTCATGTCCCCTAGCCTGTAGGCAGACACAGTATGGCTACAGTCATGTCCCCTAGCCTGTAGGCAGACACAGTATGGCTACAGTCATGTCCCCTAGCCTGTAGGTAGACACAGTATAGCTACAGTCATGTCCCCCTAGCCTGTAGGCAATCAGACACAGTATGGCTACAGTCATGTCCCCTAGCCTGTAGGTAGACACAGTATAGCTACAGTCATGTCCCCTAGCCTGTAGGTAGACACAGTATAGCTACAGTCATGTCCCTTAGCCTGTAGACAGACACAGTATAGCTACAGTCATGTCCCCTAGCCTGTAGGCAATCAGACACAGTATAGCTACAGTCATGTCCCCTAGCCTGTAGGTAGACACAGTATAGCTACAGTCATGTCCCCTAGCCTGTAGGCAGACACAGTATAGCTACAGTCATGTCCCCTAGCCTGTAGGCAATCAGACACAGTATAGCTACAGTCATGTCCCCTAGCCTGTAGACAATCAGACACAGTATAGCTACAGTCATGTCCCCTAGCCTGTAGGCAGACACAGTATAGCTACAGTCATGTCCCCTAGCCTGTAGGCAGACACAGTATAGCTACAGTCATGTCCCCTAGCCTGTAGGCAGACACAGTATAGCTACAGTCATGTCCCCTAGCCTGTAGGCAATCAGACACAGTATAGCTACAGTCATGTCCCCTAGCCTGTAGACAATCAGACACAGTATAGCTACAGTCATGTCCCCTAGCCTGTAGGTAGACACAGTATAGCTACAGTCATGTCCCCTAGCCTGTAGACAGACACAGTATAGCTACAGTCATGTCCCCCTAGCCTGTAGGCAATCAGACACAGTATGGCTACAGTCATGTCCCCTAGCCTGTAGACAGACACAGTATAGCTACAGTCATGTCCCCTAGCCTGTAGGCAATCAGACACAGTATAGCTACAGTCATGTCCCCTAGCCTGTAGGTAGACACAGTATAGCTACAGTCATGTCCCCTAGCCTGTAGGCAATCAGACACAGTATGGCTACAGTCATGTCCCCTAGCCTGTAGGCAATCAGACACAGTATAGCTACAGTCATGTCCCCTAGCCTGTAGGCAATCAGACACAGTATGGCTACAGTCATGTCCCCTAGCCTGTAGACAATCAGACACAGTATAGCTACAGTCATGTCCCCTAACCTGTAGGTAGACACAGTATAGCTACAGTCATGTCCTCTAGCCTGTAGGCAATCAGACACAGTATAGCTACAGTCATGTCCCCTAGCCTGTAGGTAGACACAGTATAGCTACAGTCATGTCCTCTAGCCTGTAGGCAATCAGACACAGTATAGCTACAGTCATGTCCCCTAGCCTGTAGGCAGACACAGTATAGCTACAGTCATGTCCCCTAGCCTGTAGGTAGACACAGTATAGCTACAGTCATGTCCCCTAGCCTGTAGGCAGACACAGTATAGCTACAGTCATGTCCCCTAGCTTGTAGGCAATCAGACACAGTATAGCTACAGTCATGTCCCCTAGCCTGTAGACAATCAGACACAGTATAGCTACAGTCATGTCCCCTAGCCTGTAGGCAGACACAGTATAGCTACAGTCATGTCCCCTAGCCTGTAGGCAATCAGACACAGTATAGCTACAGTCATGTCCCCTAGCCTGTAGGCAGACACAGTATAGCTACAGTCATGTCCCCTAGCCTGTAGGTAGACACAGTATAGCTACAGTCATGTCCCCTAGCCTGTAGACAGACACAGTATAGCTACAGTCATGTCCCCCTAGCCTGTAGGCAATCAGACACAGTATGGCTACAGTCATGTCCCCTAGCCTGTAGGCAATCAGACACAGTATGGCTACAGTCATGTCCCCTAGCCTGTAGACAATCAGACACAGTATAGCTACAGTCATGTCCCCTAACCTGTAGGTAGACACAGTATAGCTACAGTCATGTCCTCTAGCCTGTAGGCAATCAGACACAGTATAGCTACAGTCATGTCCCCTAGCCTGTAGGTAGACACAGTATAGCTACAGTCATGTCCTCTAGCCTGTAGGCAATCAGACACAGTATAGCTACAGTCATGTCCACTAGCCTGTAGACAGACACAGTATGGCTACAGTCATGTCCCCTAGCCTGTAGGTAGACACAGTATGGCTACAGTCATGTCCTCTAGCCTGTAGGCAGACACAGTATAGCTACAGTCATGTCCCCTAACCTGTAGGTAGACACAGTATGGCTACAGTCATGTCCCCTAACCTGTAGGTAATCAGACACAGTATAGCTACAGTCATGTTCCCTAGCATGTAGACAGACACAGTATAGCTACAGTCATGTCCCCTAACCTGTAGGCAATCAGACACAGTATGGCTACAGTCATGTCCCCTAGCCTGTAGGAAATCAATGAGAGACAGTAGAGTTCTAGACTGCTAACCCAAAAGTCTCGAGTTCGAATCTGGGTACAAGTTAGTAGAATGTCCATGAGTTCACCCAGCTCTGATGAATAACTAACAAAGGCGGCTGGGCAAAGTGCTGACCACACTATCCTTTCATATGCCGAGGTCTCTGAAACATATCAACTCTACTTCATCTGCCCCATGTGTCTTGGGACACGAACGGGACAAAACGATGATGCGTGACTATTAGGGCTATAGTCAAAACTATCAGGATCGGTGTAATTATACTCAGGGTTAGGGGCAAGATAAGGACTTTAAGTGATAGCATCACAGTGACAATAGGGTTTGTAAGTCTCCGTCTCTCTCACTTAAAATTCAAAATCTCGTTTGCCAATTGTGAACATGATTAATATAACAACAAAAAATCTGGCGACTATTTGTTTCTAGGCCTCGCGTCAAGATTTAAAATTCCAAGAGTACCCAAAATACAACAAATAATAATTTTATTTTTTGTTTACTATTAATAAAATCTAATCAAGTACCAGTAGTCCTGGTCTATGAATAATATTATACTAATGTTGTAACAACGTTAAGACAATTTGTACCGGATTCGAATAAATAATAACAGACCGCACGCTTCTCTAAAAATTCACAAATTAACGTCGATTTATTTTTTTCTTTAAGTTAGCTTGCATCTTATAGCGTATCACTGTTTCCGATTTTAAATAACATATAATTAGCGAAAGTAACTTTTATATTTGCTTTGTATTATCGATTTCATTTATAAAGCTCACATTTGGTTTGAAAAATACGAGCTGGCAAGTACGAAAACGAGAAGTTGGTGACCTACTTACAAGCCCCATTATGTTGGATAAATTAAAAAGAGTACTTAGAAGAATTTTAAATTTATTCAAAGACAAACTGCGCCACCTACTTGGTTTCTGGGATCTTCTTACAAGTGTAGTAAACCATCTCCATGAAGTGGTTAGGAATTTTCGTCAGTCCCAAGGCGTTCTAAACATAAATCAGTATTAAAATAACTGGCTTTTGAAGTTTACTCGTAGGCTGCATACGATAAAAGTTAGGTATTGTTATAAGCTGAGATTTGGCTGAATTCACATCAATAGAAAATACAAACGGTCTAATCTACAATGACAAAACGGGTATCATGCAAATGAAGCTTTAAGGTACTTCAATGTAGTCTAGTGTCCTCTAAAGAATTTTGTAATGACCAAAGGATATCAAAGATGTTACAATATCTCTAAGGGATGTCTCAACATCCAAACGTCCTTTATTGGATATCCTAAAGTCCTCAATGGAATGTCCCAATGTCCTTTAAAGTCTAAGTGATGTCCACGTCCTCGAATGGATATCACAGTGTCCTTTAAGGGATGTCCTAATGTCCACTAAAGGATATCTAATTATCCCATAATGAAGGCCGTATGTTCTAAATAAGAGTTCCAGTCATCTCTAACGAACGCCATATTGTCGTTTACTTGTCACAATGTTCCTTTATAAATGTAATATAAAGGTAATAATGTCCTGTTATACGTTGCTAATGTCACCTGATGATTGTCCTCATGTCATCTCATGAAAGTCCTAAAGTCCTCTAATGAAGTTCTCTTTGTTCATCACAAGGTGTTCAGTCTCTCGCACGCTGATTAATACCCTGAGGTTAATGAGTGCACTTACTTTGACTTGACCCACGGCTATCGTAATGGCTGCAGCAGACGTGAAGGCTGTGATGACCGGATGTGAGATAAAGTTGACCAGTATACCTGGATCAGATTAAAAGTTGACTAATATACCTGGTTCAGATTAAAAGTTGACCTCCAAAATTTTAACATCCAAAAACTCGCATTTCGATTGATACTCTCACAAAAATTCAATTTAATTAAAATTTAATTAACCAATTAATTACCTAGTTTTAGAATGCCCATGATGAGTTGGATGATACCAGAGGTCAAGGTCAGGATGATGGCCGCCGTGGGGTCCTTCCCGCCCGTGGGTAGGTCAGGCGAGAAGGAGGTGCCGAAGGTGGCTGTCATGAGGGAGAGGAGGGCGGTGGGCCCCAGGGTGATGTCCTTGGACGTCCCCAGGAGGCAGTAGATGAAACACCCCACAAAGGCGGAGTACAGCCCATACTGTATGGGGGGGGGGGGTAGTAATTCAAAAATTTAATTTAATCATTTAAAAAATGATTGAACATAGTTGTATTGTGTTAACGTTAAATTTTGTTAACAATCAACAAAACACAAGATCTAATGAGTTGGCTTTTACACAAGAAACAGAAAAGGAAATAGAAGCACTCTAGAAATCCCTAAACTGGAATTAGATAACTGACGTTTCGGTGACAAGTCTTCGTCAGATTTAAGAGGAAAAAAAGCATCAAGCTTCTCAATAATAAAAAATATGATACTTTATCAGTCATTAGACAAAACTAATTAGCTAAAACAAGCTTTTTTTAAATAAATGTGTCAAATATAATTTAACAGGTTTTTGACAAATTTATTTGTGGCAGGGGGGGGGGGGGTCGAAGTTATGCCTGGTTTATTTAGTGACAGGGAGGGGAGGGGGGGCTTTAAGCTTGGCTTATTTACCTGAGGTGGGAGGTAAGCGATCTGGGCGTAGGCCAGGCCCTGGGGTATCACCGTCAACCCCACCGTCAGTCCGGCGATCACATCACACTGGAGCGTCGCCAACCTGGATGGGTGGGGGGGGGGGGTGAATGAACAGTTTAAAAAAATGATTATCTTAGTAAGTTTTTAAATGATGTAAAAATTAAGTTGAATTGAACCCTAAAGTCTATTAAACTCTAAAACTGTTTGAACCCTAAAATTACCTGAACCCTAAATTTGATCGAACCCTAAATTTGACTGAACCCTAAAGTTTACTGAAAAACTAACTGAACCCTAATGTTGTTTAAGTCCTTAATTTGATTAAATCCTAAAGCTGACTTAAACCTAAAACTAGCTGAACCCTAAAGTTGTCCCAACCCTAAAGTTGACTAAACCCTAAAGTTAACTGAACCCTAATATTGTTTAAGCCCTAAATTTGATTGAACCCTAAAGTTGAATGAACCCTAAAGTTGACTGAAGCCTAAAACTAACTGAACCCTAAAGTTGACTGAAAAAATAACTGAACCCTAATGTTGTTTAAGCCCTAAATTTGATTGAACCCTAAAGTTGACTGAGCCCTAAAGTTGACTGAAACCTTAATTTGACTGAACCCTAAAGTTGACTGAAACCTAAATTTGATTAAACCCTACAGTTGACTGAACCCTAAAGTTGACTGAACCCTAATGTTGACTGAACCCTAAAGTTGACTGAGCCCTAAAGTTAACTGAACCCTAAAGTTGACTGAGCCCTAAAGTTGACCCAAACTTGACCCCACCACACAGTACCTGTACTTGGGCAACCACCTGACGATGGGAAACTTGCTCAGCAGGTTGTCCAGAGTAAAAGTTTCCTGGCAACATCTTTTGATTTTTTCCCTGACCACAGCTCCTGTGACGTCATTGTGACGCGTCACGACTTCCAGTCCATTAGCAGACGTGCTGTGGTTTTCTAAATGCTGAAAGTTCAATGTAAAAGTAAATTCAAGACCACTTCAATATATAGTTTCCAAGAACTACCACTTATTTTTATATATTTACATATGTATATGTATGCGTTTCCGTTTTTTAACCATATTAATGACGGCACGTTATTTTAACCAGAAGCGTAGCGAGGGCAGGGCGGGGGTGCGGACCGCACTGGGCGACACCATTTAGGGGGGGGGGTGACACCATTGCAAAATGTGCAGAAGAAAAATGCTTTTTGCCAGTTGCACTAATGATTAACTATGCTGCATATGTTTATATTATAAGCCTATGTAGGCCGATACACACACACACACACAAACACACACACACACACACACATATATATATATACATATATATATATATATATATATATATATATATATATATATATATATATATATATATATATATATATATATATATAGTTGTTTTTTTCTTGTGGGGGGGGGGGAGGGGGGATGACACCATGAAGTGCCGCACCGGGTGACACCCGACCAAGCGACGCCATTGATTTTAACCAAATCGAAACATCCATAAGATACTGCATCTACTATCCATCAAAACCAACACGAATCAACACCATTCAAGCGGAACATGAAAAAAAAAAAACGCACCCCATATTTACTGAGGGTCGTGTGCACGACTAATGCGTAAGGGGGGGGGGGGTTGAGGGAGTCTAATTATGGTGGGGGCGGACCCTTCAAAAATGTGACATCTAATGTCAGGGGATCATACGGTGAATGGAAACTTTTGGTACCATTCTAATAGTGATGGAAACTTTTGGTACCATTCTAATAGTGATGGAAACTTTTGGTACCATTCTAATAGTGATGGAAACTTTTGGTACCGTTCTAATAGTCATGGAAACTTTTGGTACTATTCTAATAGTGATGGAAACTCTTAGGTTTAATGTGGGTCGAACATTGTTTCAATACAGATTCGCTTTTACATGGCTGGCGACCTTTTTTAAAAGATAAATTAATCATATCTTTTTAAAAATCATTGTATTATATCAATTTCAATTGTTGGCATTAAGCAATCAAAGTTATATATGACATATAGGTTAATTAAAATAAAACAATTGTTCGCATTTAAGAGACAATTTATGTTAATTTAATTTTTTATCGCAACATCTTATTTAGCACCATAAACATTTTTGTTCTTTCAATTCAAACAATACTACACTCGTCTAAAACGTCTGCAAATATTGCCTCCCCACCCCCTTTCCATTCACACACACACACACACACAGACACACAGACACACACTAACCCTGATTCGGCCAAAATACCACGAGCATATGCTCTCTCTATATACCTGTATATCATATATACCTATATATACGTATCATACACACACACACACACACACATATATATATATATATATATATATATATATATATATATATATATATATATATATATAGAGAGAGAGAGAGAGAGAGAGAGAGAGAGAGAGAGAGAGAGAGAGAGAGAGAGGGGGGGGGGTCGTCCATAAATGACGTCACATACGTAGGGGGGTGGGGGGGTCCGTAATTTTATGACGGTGTGTGACGAGGGGGATAGCGGGGGGTTCAGATAGGTGGGGGTCTGGCTTTTTTTGACGACGTGTGACGGAGAGGAGGGGGGGGGAGGTAAAAATCGTCAAAAAAAGCGTGACGTCATTTATGGATGACGCCGTACCGCTGTGTGATTAAAAGTTCTAAGACAATTTTGTAATGCTGACGCAACATTTAAATGTCCAGATTTATCTACACCATTAAAATATATTTAGGACTATTTTATTTATTTAAGAATAGAATCCACACTTTAAAATTGACTGTGTGGACAGATGAGACTGACTCAACTGGTATGCAGTACAGACCAGCCTCAGTGCAGATATTAGATACAAACTTTATACTTATAGTGAAAATTTAAAAAATTAAAGAAAGATTTTTTTTTCTAACTTACCGGTAGCCCCGGCTCGTCCATACAAGTTGTAGGCTAAAACCAAGATGTATCCAATTAGTTTCTTTATAAACCGATTAATTAAAACTCCAATTAAACATTCCCTCGACCTCCTGGCATATAAACCATTAAATACATTGAAAACGTCTTTGGGTGAGTGTGTTTTGTAACCCCAGACGCGCGTATTTTAACTGGGTCAAGGTCGCCTAGCAGAATACGTGATTCTCGGCTAGCGTGTATTTTTAGACTCCATTCTTGGCGGGGACGACGTCATTAGAGTGGAACTTAAAACAGTGATCAATAGCTCCACGGAACAAAACAATTGTCTGTCGTACTAACAATGGCACGGAAATAATGACATCGTTTTTGTCAACACTTGTAAGTGTGTAGTTACCAGGATGTGTAAAGTATGTGTAATTATGATAAGTGGCGTTGCGAGGCGGGGACTGGGGTGCAGACCGCACCGGGTGACACTATTAAGGGGAGGTGGCGGGGACTGACACCAAGGCGAAAATTGTAAACTGTTTATAGAAAAAAAAATGTTTTTTTTTTCGCATTTCAATTCATTATTAATTAGAGTTTTAAAAAATATTATTAAGTAATAATTGATAATACCAACGGGTGGCAGGGGCGGGAAGGGGGCGCTACATATCATTACATGAACTTGCTAACTATAAAGAAACTAATGCAACATCCAGCTGTATTAATAACCAACTACAGATAAACATAGTTACAATCAAATGTGCACACTTTAGAGATTTCAGCGGGGGGGGGGGGGGGGGGGGGGGGGTCGGGGTTGGGGGGGGGACACCTTCTGCAAAATTACAGAGAGAAAAAGGTGTTTTTTTCAATAACGTTTCAATTAACTATCGGGGAGGGGGTGACACCAAATCTAATAATTCTCAAAAAAAAAAAAAAGATGCTTTATTTTACACGAATTGATAGGTGAATTAATATACTGTTCGAACAAATAAACGCAATTAAGCAATATATATATATATATATATATATATATATATATATATATATATATATATATATATTATATATCACATAATTCATTAAAAAAATTCTTTTTTGGGGGGGGGGTGGTTGGGGGGTGACACCATGAGGTGCGGTACCGGGTGAAACCCGATCTAGCGACGCTACTGAGTTTTGATACTGAAAGTACTGAAACCATCTCTCACGTTTTCGTTGGGTCTGCAGTAAGGCACAAGGCACAAGATGACGTTTTTGGAAACTAGGTAAACTGTGGTCTCTTTGTACTGTGTAGGTTCTAGGCAATATGGCAGCTTTAGGTACTGCAGGTACTAGACACTTTAGTGAACTTAGTACTGTGTAGGTATTGGGCACTGTGTCAGCATTAGGTACTCTGGTGGCACTAAGCACTGCATGGGAGCCAAGTACTGTGCGGGTAGTTTTGTACTGTGGGACACTCTCTGGATCAGAGCCGGCGTTAGGGGGTGGCGAACGGGGCGGTCGCCATAGGCCCCGCGCTTGAAGGGGCCCCGCGCTTCAGCAATGTCATTGTTATCTGAATTAGTTTGTAAACTTAAAAGAATTGTTGCTGAATTCAATTGGGAAAAACTAAATGGTCGAATGCCGACGTTGTTGATTGTTATAACTGAGGCCACGGTTGATGTTAGTGAGTTATCACCTGAACTGGAACAGGCCGTAATTCGATACAAAAACAGTGTAACACCTCCCCTTTGTGTAGGGTACGGTCGCCTGGCATTTGACCTGAGCTGACTGGAGATGGCGGTCGAGAATTAGCCCACGACGTAAAGAGATACCCTATTGTATGCGGACCCATGAAGACGTCCTTTTAGTGAGCAGACGGGATGTCTGTAGTAGACAGTTGGTGACCTGATGAACTCTAGTCCTGACTTACTTGTTGTAGATGTTGTATAATGTCGTATATGTACAGTGTTTCTTCCAGACTTTTTTCTACGGGGGGGGGGGGGGGGGAAGGGGCACTTGAAATTTTCGGGGGGGGGATAGATTTTCTTCGGTCTTGCCCCCCCCCCCCCCCCCGAAGAGATGTTGTCTTGGTATAACAAAATTAACATTCAGTTGCGTGCAGAGGGATGGGAGGAGGGCGACGATGGGGGGGGGGGGGGATCTATATCAGGCGGCATTAAACAGAGTGATTTATTATTATTTTTTGGAAGAAAGTTAAAACTGTTGTTATGTTGTGTCACCTTAAGGATTCACCCGTTCAATAATTAAGACAATAATGTTTTTGGTTTTAAAATATTGTATGGATTCTAAACAAATTTTGAAGTCTATACTGTTTTGATACATCAGGCCGAGTTCGCTGTATTGTAAAGTTTATTTTCCTAATTATTCGGCACGTGATTAAATTTTCTTAAGTGATTTGGTATGAATTACATAACTGTCAAAAGTGATTTAATATCTTAGCAAAGAAAAAAAAACTACGGACACTGGGTTAATACATGGGAGAAATAAAAATCCGTTATTATAATGGAAAGTTTGACATTAGCTTATAAACTCCAAAACATTTGTGTTATTATGTGTACATCACATTATATAGGCCTTTATACATATATATATATATATATATATATATATATATATATATATATATATATATATATAATGGAAAGGCCCCGCGCGGATGGTTGGCCCTAGGCCCCGCGTATTCCTAACGCCGGCTCTGCTCTGGATACTAGGTACTGTGCGGGTAGTTTTGTACTGTGTGACACTATGCAATGTGTGGGTACTAGGTACTGTGCGGGTAGTTTTGTATTGTGGGACACTATGCACTCTCTGGGTACTAGGTACTGTGCGGGTAGTTTTGTACTGTGGGACACTATGCAATGTGTGGGTACTAGGTACTGTGCGGGTAGTTTTGTATTGTGGGACACTATGCACTCTCTGGGTACTAGGTACTGTGCGGGTAGTTTTTTACTGTGGGCGCCAACTATGAAGTCAAATCAATGTGTGACGTCGTGTATATAGAGGCTATAAAATTAACAATAGCAAATGTAACGTAATCCTCCTTATTATTTTTATAAGCTTTTATTTAGTTCACTGTTTGTTTGTTTTTCCGTTTGCTTGTTGTTGGCAAAAGATGTTTTTAGCAACTCTTGTAACTCAATTATAACCTACTTTTAATGCAGCGATTTCGTTCAAACTTTTTAGATACTTTCATCCATAATGACAATGCAAAAATCTCTAATTATAATCTAATATGACATTAGATTATTCGTTAATTATTAAAAAGTTAGAAAAAGGAAATTTAAAACAACCTTTGTAATAATATCTTTTTAATTGCACTGAAATTGTGTTTTTAAATTAAATTTTAAAATATCAATTTATTTAAAATAGCATTTATTGCATTTACTTTGAATATCGTTTTTTTTTTTAATTTAAAATTTTATCAACAATTATATTTGTTTTATTAAAACACGATATACTGTAGCCTATTTGTTTGTGAATATTATTTTTAATAAAATAAATATTTGAAGCAGTTTGAAATGGCTATGAATATTTATAATGGTATTATTACTAATTTGGGAAGTTCAAAAGCCAATCGACATAGCAAACCCTACTGTAATTATCCTCTTCTAATAGTTATAAGGCTATTTTAAAAAGAAATTAATTAACAAAAAATATGCTGAGATGCAAAATTGTAATATAAGATCTGATTGGCAGAAGTGGTTACACGTCTGACTTGATGCATGGAAGGCGAGGCGATTTGGTGCCGCGTGGAATGGTAGGTTCGAATCACGTTGGGTTCTGACTGTTCTGTCTTTACTTGGACTATATTCTGTACCTTTGTCTACCCTTGGCGTTGAAATATCACTTTCTGTTTACA